TACTCCTGGGTCAGACTGGGTTCTAAATTTTCTTGATCGCCACAATGAACTGCTAACCCAACGCAGTTGCCAAAACATCAAGCGTGTCAGAGCTGAGAAATGCGAGGTTGAATTAGAAGCATACTTTGACAGGTTGCTGGAGAGTGTGCAAGGCATTCCAGAAAAAAATGTGTTAAACTACGACGAGACAAATCTGTCCGATGATCCGGAGAAAATGATAAGAGTAGAGCCGGGAAAATCAGTTGTTAACTTGGAAGAACTAGGCCCTAGCACAAGGAAGGACATGGAAGAAATGGAAAGCACAAGTCTGGATAATGACGTTATTGAAGACGAAGATTCTTTGCCATTGATTGAGTTGTCAGAATGTGACGAGAGTCGGCAAAACATTATTAATCTGTCTGATGACTACTGGAGCTACGAGGATGATCTTCCTTTGACGAGATTTATCAAAAATCCTGAAATAAAAGTTGACACTTTTGTTATTGTCGAATTCAAATCCAGAAAAGTTACGAACCATTATATTGGCCAAGTCAAAGAGCTTGTGGCAGATGATTACACCATAAATTTTATGAGGAAGCAAAACAGAGGCTTCGTGTTTCCTGTTGTTGAGGACATAGCCTTAATTTCTAAAACAGAAGTGATCGAGAGGGTATGGCCATATCATATTAACAGGGGCATTCATTATTTTGATGTTAGTTTTGTAAAATATTCATTTTACTAAAAGTTTTATTTTTAATAGCTAGGTAAAGAGTTCCTTGTGTTTTTTGTTCCTCTTCATATTAGAGAGTTCCTTTGGATACTTGGTATGCATTGTTTAGATTAGTTACTATAATATAGGTTTTTTTATAGGTACTCACCTACCTATCCAATTATTTTTCAAAAGAAAAATTTCTCTATTAGGAAGTTTAGTTAAGTTAATAAGTTAATGTTCTACTTTTGATATTGTAAACTGAAAGACTGAAGTTTATGGGTATTTTTGTATGTTTCTCAAAGAATAAACGTTGTTTTTAACATCTTATTGTTTTTTTCTGTAAATTTTTTTTTAAAACTTAAATTGGGGGCAAAGTAAACTATAGAGAGGCTTAAGTTGACACCACGGTCAGTTTAAAGAGCAGTGGCAAAGTATCACCGATGTCCGGGTAACTTTGCCATTTTTTAAACTAAAAGAAAAAATATATCCGGGCATAAAACAACAAATTTGAATGTAGGAATCTGTAGCCAAATAACGGAAATTATACATAGTTTTTTCCAAGAAAATATTGCAAAAAATAAAAATTTAGAAAAGGAAAAGTGCAAAAATCGTTGCAAAGTAACACCGCTCTACGGTATTATGTATTTTTGATTCTAGACTTGGAATAAGTATTATTATTATAATTGTTTGTAGTGCGCGAGTGATCTTCGTAGCCTTAATAATGTCTGGACTGACCGTAGCCTTAAGGCCGATGAAAGTGGTTCACCTTGAACCGAAAGTGACGCGGCAGTCGGCCGCCAACCGTCGAATGTATCACATCTGTTTGAGTTTGATCTGTTAGATTATTTTTGTTTGTAAAGTTTGAGTAAAGTGAGTCCCCGAAACCGTGTGTTACTACTGCCCACTTCCCACGTATATTGGAGTCATGCACATCATTTTGGCGCACAACGTGAGGCTTGTAGTGTTTTGGGGAATTCGCCAGTGAAGGATAAATCATTTTGAGTTTTGCAAAGCGTGGTCGGCCATTGAGAACGAAATCGAAAGTGTCTGATCGCTGCTGCCATCTGACGACTAGGAAAAGCAGTGGAAAACAAATGGCCGATGTTTGATCAGCTGATGTATGACAGCCGCTTTGAACTAAACAAACGACAAGTTGTTTTGGACATAGGAGTTTTGAAATAAGCGGAGAGTTGGGCACTGTTAGCAGAGAGATCCAGGTGCTTAGGAGGTGAGCTGGAAGTTTGGGAGAAGCAGAGTTGGAGCGGAAAGAAGAAGAAAAAGTTATGGTCCAGGTATCATAAAAAAAAAAAATAGTGCAAGGTACTGTATTTTATTTGTGTATTGGGTAGAGTTAGGTATTTAGATTGAAATCGCTTTTCAAATGAATGATAAAATGGCACCGAAGAAACCAAAAGCCAATGTAAATGAGAACAGTTTGTTAGGTAGTTTGGATGAAAGTGAGTCACCACAGTGTAGTGAGTTAAAAAATATGGTGAATAACTTAGCAGATGATTTCAAGAGGTTACAGACGTCTTTATCTGGGGGTAGTAGGCAATATGTTGGTCTGTGGAGGGACCTGGGGGGTCACACTTTGACATTTGTGCCTAATGGACCAGTGCATCCAATGAACTTTTTAAGAAAAATTATGCATATCTTGGATGAGGCTGGGGTGCCTGAAACCGCAAGGTTAAAACTAGTAACAGGGTGTTTGAGGGGCTCGGCTGCTGAGTGGGCGGAAATCAAGGAGGATTCTTTTGACTCATTTCAGAGTTTCATTGATGCTTTCATGGATAGGTACTGGGGGGTTAAAGAACAACGTGCATTGTACTATGAAATAAAGTATGGTAAATTTCGATCAGGTAGCAGGGCAGATTATGTTCTCCGGATGGCAAAACTAGCCAGTTTTTTGACAGACAAGATTTCTGAGAGTGAGTTAGTGAGGTTTTTGTCACAGCATTTTACACAAGAGCCAGAGATTCATAGGGCGGTTTTAATTCAAAATATGAAAACCATAGAGGAACTTGAAGGATTTCTAAGAAATTTAGATGAGGTTGACGCTACTAGTCGTGATAGAAGAAATGAAGGGAGAGGGGGGTACAATCCACCAAATCATAATGGTAATCGAAATTTTAGGCAAGATGCTGCTCAGGGAGAAAATAACAGAAATGATCAGGATAGGGCTATCAGATTTATAGATGTGGGAGAGGATTTATTGAGTGAAATTGAGGATGGTGGAGATGGTGATGAAGGACACCAGATGATTTCCTCAACTGTGAAAGGTAATGTTTATGGTGAAGAAGTAAACATATTACTAGACTCAGATAGTCAATGTTGTGCGATATCTGATGAATTTTACAAGAAAATAAATTCTGATGAAAATGGGATATTGGTATTGCCGGTGGTAAATTTCTCAGTTACGGGGGCAGTCGGTAAAAAGCAACAGCGAATTAAGCAACAGGTTTTAGTGAAAATCGAAATTGGGGGGTGTGTGTTTGAAATCCCTTGCATAGTGGTGCCACATTTGAACCGTTCGGTTATTTTAGGAAGCGATTGGTTTTTAAAGGAACATGTCAAACTTGATTATGATGATTTAGTTTTAGCTGTTGATGAAAAAAGTTTAAAGGTGAGAATTCAGTTGGAAAGAAGGGATGAGGCTCAGTTATCGATTAATTTTCTACAAGAAGGACAAATGAAGGATAGGAATAGACATCGTTATACAGATTTCGAGATAAAAGAAGTGGTTACTAAGGCGGAATCGTTTGATGAAAGGGAAAAAGCGGAACTATTGAAACTAGTTAAGGATTTTGAGGGCATTTTCTCTGAAACTCCAGGTCGTATGCCAGTTTATAATCATGAAATAAAAATGAGAGATAACACACCATTCTTTAAGGCCTCATACCCCATTGCAGTGTCTCATAGGGTAGAAGCTCAGCGTCAGTTGTTAGAAATGTTAGAGTTAGACATAATTTCTTTACAGCAAACTGAGTATGTATCGCCTCTCACCACAGTCATAAAAAAAGATAACTCAGTACGCATATGCTTAGATGCCAGATATATCAACACTCGCATGGTAAAAGATCATGTTTTACCACCAAACCCAGATGATTTACTGACCAAATTTGATGGTAGCTGTTACCTTTCAACTTTGGATTTGACTGCGTCATATTGGCAGGTGCCAGTGCGAAAAGATGATAGGAAATATTTGGGTTTCCTGTTTGACAATCAAACATATGTTTTTAATGTACTACCATTTGGCCTTTCAACCAGTGTTGCCAGTTTTATAAGGGGTTTAAAGTTAGTTTTGGGTGCAGAAGTAGAGAATTTCACCTTAGTTTATGTCGATGACATTTTTGTCTTTTCAAGGACATCTGAAGAGCATTTACGTCATTTGGGCATCATTTTTGAGAAAATTAAGGCTGCCAATATGACCATTAAATTGCGGAAATCCGAAAGTTATTTGTGAGGTTTGATGGGCCATATGTGGTGTCGCGCATAGTTGGACCCAATTCTTATATGTTAAAGAATATAGAAGGTGTCAATGTAGGCCCTCAGAACATTAGAAACTTAAAATTGTATAAGTGCTGCCCTACCCCTGACCAATTGTAAATTAGGTTTAGTTTAATTAGGTTAGTGTTTGGTATTATATCTTCTGGAATGTAATCCCTCAGATATAATAGGGGGGTGATGTAGTGCGCGAGTGATCTTCGTAGCCTTAATAATGTCTGGACTGACCGTAGCCTTAAGGCCGATGAAAGTGGTTCACCTTGAACCGAAAGTGACGCGGCAGTCGGCCGCCAACCGTCGAAGGTATCACATCTGTTTGAGTTTGATCTGTTAGATTATTTTTGTTTGTAAAGTTTGAGTAAAGTGAGTCCCCGAAACCGTGTGTTACTACTGCCCACTTCCCACGTATATTGGAGTCATGCACTTCATGTTTCAACATAATATTTCTAACTAGTGACATCTACCTTCATTAGGCTTGTGTCGTTCTTTGCAAATTATGTAAAAAATACAATATTCTGAAATCGTTGAACGCCACAATTATCTGCCAACACTCACATTTTTAAAAATTAAACTAAATATACGAGTTGAATGAGAGAACTATACAAAAATTGACCTATGTCAAGTGTACTTTGATCCTCACCACCTACTATGGGAATGAGGAGACAAACAAATCCTTGACTGGCTTCTTCTGCCTAGACTGAATTAGTTGTTCGAATCCAAATATCGATATGATCGTTTTCAGTTTAATGTCCAGCAGGTCATCTGAGGACCGCATGACACGATTTGAAATTTAAGACCAAATTTTCATGCAACTGTCAACCTGGCAAAATGAACGATTTGTTGACAGGCTTAACCTACAAATATTCACATATGAGAAGTGTCGGTATACCGAGTTAGTTCCGGCGAGGAAAATAGTAGGTAAGATACCCTCCGCTGGCGGTTACCATAACCTCTCTTACGTTTGTCAAAGTACCAGTTGCATCACAATTTGATAACAAATTTCATATCGTATTATGCGGCTCGGCCCTGAAATGACGTGGTAGATATTAAACTCCAAATAATTATTTTTGGTGGATTTTTGTAAAAACTATGGGATTTACCAGAATTTTTGAGTCAATTTTGGCGGAAATGCGATATTGATACCGTTCGACGTAAATAAATAAGGAGCATTTGAAGGAATCTTCTTATCTCCACTGTTTCATCCGTTCTATGGATATTCGATTCACAAAAAATCGCCCAAGTCTGTTTCCGACTGATTCGCCAAGCAAAACGCTGATCATTAGGTCCATTGTGGTTATAAGGGTAACACGTGCTCTGTCGGTTGATCAAACGGTTTTCGGTTATTTTAATGTTTATTGAATAAAAGTGGTTAAACTAGGTAAGTAGTTAGCTTATGTGATAAACGTAATATTTTAATTGAACAGTTTATATCGGTATATTATTACAAAACAAGTTTTCAAAGGTACAAATGTTACGCAGTTTTCTTGCGCTATATTTTTGTCTGAGACAAGATTTGTGTAGGGCATACGCATTTTGTTAGACTCGGGTTCTTCCATGGAAACTATCACATTTTATTACAGCTTATCGATGTATGCACGATTGAAGAAGCGTCTAGTATACACATTTTCGACTTATTATTACGAGTTTATACAGTTGATAGCAAAAAGTTGAAGCCATCATTACTGATCGAATCTGCAATTCTCTTAACAGAAGATGTCACGGCGTATAGATAAAATATTTGAAGCCTTGAAAAGTACGGATATTATTAGCAATATTAGAGTAGACATAGTTGAAGATTTAACATCAACGCAACTATCGAGGTCTAATAAGAGCGATGAAAATAAATTCAATATGGCTGAAGCACTTGAAAATGCAGAACTAGTGTTTCTGGAAAATGAAGGTAACTAGATTGGAATAACTAACCAAAGCGGCACTCCTCAAATTCAGATTTACCCAGCTAAATTCATACACGGTATATGTCAAAACATAATACAAAGTTTTGCCTTCAGTCATTCATGTTATTTTCTATATTACTGACGTAGCGAACATGAAGTTTGTCTTCTATTCTTCATTGTCTGTCAGAAAATTAAGTTGTTTTGAGCAGAATAAATTCATAATTCAACTTTGTATTCAAGTCTATCACAAAACTATACTTATTTAAAACTCTTCGCTTATTTTGAAAATTGTTTCACAGACATTTGATGGGACAGTTGGGGAAACGTTTGTTTCAGCAACTGCCTAGTAGCTTATACCTTAACCTTTTTTACATTCACGTCACTAATTTTCAGTAATAACAGATGAAAATATCAGTAGTGTCTTCAATGAGACACCGTCTAGTGAATCCCAAACCAATTCTGGCAAGGTTAAGGTTACCAATGAGCATGTATTTCCTGTGAACCCATTGAATAGCAGCACTGATGGTATGATAAGTCTAGAAGCTCATTTCTGTTTTAGTGTGTATCTATCTCTACTTAGGAATATTCAATATCCGATTCTACAAATGACTTAGGAATAGAAATCGAGGAGTGCAATGGAATTCTTGACGGAAGCTCTTGTTTGAAGGTTTCTCAAGAAAAGAACGGTCAAGTTGAATACCAAGAGATAAGTTTGCTCAATGGAAAAATAAACATATCTCCAAAAGACAATTATCAACAGGATGAATGCTCAGGACATTTTTTAACCTCACAAAATAGTCAAATAAGCGACACCTCAAATAAGAACGCTCCTTAAAAGACAGAGAGAAAGGTAGACCATATACAGGAAAAAAGGAAAATGGGAAATGGCGATACAATTTGCTGAAACAATCAAGGTCTTTGAAAGAAAGATGTAAGTACAAGTCAAAATAGTAAATCAGTCTTACAATGTCGAACCCTAAGTGAAGATGCAAGGAAAAAATCTTCCAAGAGTTTTGGCAATATACATGGGATGAAAACTATGTTCCTAAATACGCTCGGTACCAAAGAATGGGTAATGAAGAGTTGCGCTAAAGGAGGATTGGAAGAAACTGTGGGTACAGGCCAACAAAAACCAGGACCAAGTAAAACTTTAGAACATCTTCATGGCTTTTTCGACTCACTACCAAAGATGGAGTCGCATCGTTGTAGAGCTACTACTTCTAAATTGTATTTGGAGCCAATTTGGACAACCAAGAGCCAGTTATATAAATTCTACAGAAGCGACTTCTGCAAAGATAGTGTCATCAAACCAGTATCTATAGTGACCATCCACAAAGAATACGAAAAAGCTCTACTTTCATTGTATAGACCAAAAAAGGACCTCTGAGATACGTGTGTGGCATTTGAAACGAGAAATTTGGCGAAAAACGTATACAATGACCATATTAAACTCAAAAATAAGGCGAGAGATGAAAAAACAGAAAGTCAAAGAATCGGACAGTGTCGTGTTTACCATGGACCGCCAATCAGTTTTACTCTCACCGAAATCAAACGTCTCTTTTCTGTATTATAAAACAAACTTAACTGTCCACAACTTTACAATTTACGATATTAAAGAACAAAAAGGGTACTGTGTTATCTATGGAATGAGTCTGATGGAGGACTAGCAAGTAGTAATGAGTTTACCAACATTATTATTCATTTCTTAAAGGGTCATATTGAGACACTTGTTTCATCCTGCAGGGACTCAAGTGACATTGAAATTACTATGAAGTGACGGCTGCAATTATCAAAACAGAAATACGACTTTATCCAACAGCTTATTAAATTTTTCTCTTCAAACTGGAGCAACTGTGGTACAAAAGTATTTACAAAAAGCCCACACTCAAATCTAAGTTGACAGTAATAGAAAGCAAAATCCGGAATAGAAAAATTAACATTCTTGCAGACTATGCATATATCTGTAAAAACTGCTTGCCAGAAAACACCATGTCACGTGGAATACCTAATGCATAGCTTTGCCAAGCAATACGATAAAATAAAGTTTGTCAAAACTATAAGACCTGGAAAGATTTCAGGCACTCCTACAGTGAATAATTTAAAAGCAATAAAGTACTCAAAAGATGGTATCTCCTTCAAACTTCGCCACACTGGAGGTTGCCAAGCTCTGCCTATACGCCTTGACGCAAATGACATTGTGCCAGTTAATTGAATACCCCAGAATGATAAGTCGGTAAAAACCACTTTTTACGAAAATCTGGTTTTTGCGCGATTCGAATCATGTAGACCTAATACACGTATTAGAGTGAGAATTGAACATATCCGCTTAGTAGTTTTACCAGTAGATGGCGCAAATATATATCCATTTTTGTCATTGAGAATGAAAACTCGGTTTTTACCCAGTTTTCATTCTAAGTGAAGTCTCTAGAGTGTTTGTTACTGCGTTGTTGTTTTTCACTAGTTGACTATTATTTGCTAGCATTTTCATGATGTCTAGTGACAGTGATACCGAGGTAATTAGGGATGATTTAGACCCAGATTATAGTGATAGTGCTAATAGTAATAATGAAGTTGAGGAGAATAAAACAAGAAAAAGAAAAAAGAATAAACATCTCTGGAAAAGTGTTCAAAGGAAATCTAACCTCAATAAAGGACTAGCGTACACATCTAAATCCGGAAAAAATATGCCTGCAAGGCGGGGTTATGAATGTGACTGCAAAAATAGATGTACAAGTAAAATCTCAGTCGAAGAAAAAGCAAACATTCTTGATAAATTTAACAACTTGGCTGATAAAAATGTGCAAGATTCCTATCTTTTTGGATTAATAACAGTGAGGCCTGTTGCAAGGTACGTGAATATAAGTAACAAAAGAAACAAATAGGTAATTTTTTAATTTTCTTTTATTTATTTAGAAGGCGACCAGATATGAAAAAGCGACTTTATGGAAAGGGCCATCCGATTGAAGATATTTTAACTGATGCTGAGTTAATTCAAACATCAAAACGAAACTCATCCTTTCATTATAAGGTTAGTTGTTATGCAAATACTTATTGACTGATAGTAGGTATTTAACAATATTTTGTATTGTAGATCATATTGGCAGCTGGACGAGAACTAATGGTTTGCAAAAAAGCTTTAGCGGGGCTTTATGGTATAAAGTTTGGTAGGATTGATCAAATTGGGCAAGCTAAAAAAAGTAACTCGGCTCCTCCGACCGACAAAAGGGGGGAACGATCCAGGGTACTTAAAAAACCAGAAGCTCTAATCCGACAAATTGAATCACATATAAATTCATTTCCTATTCGCATCTCGCACTACACCAGAAATAGCAGTCAAAGAAAGTTTCTTTCGCCCGACTTAAGTGTGATGAAAATGCATCAGCTGTACGTGGAAAAGTACGAACCGGAGAAATATCAACAGTGAAAGGCTGATAACAAAACAAAATTTAAAATCAACTATGATTTTTATCTACACATATTTAACACCAAATTTAATCTTTCATTTGGAAAACCTAAAACGGACGTCTGCAATGCATGTGACCGATTCAAGAATCAAATAGATGCGGCGGAAAATCCAGAAGAAAAATCTCGGTTGAATCAAAAACACTCTCTACATCAAGCCAAAGCGCAGAAATTTTACGACCACCTTAAGCGGTTCAGTGAACAAGCTAAAACGGACGAAAAAATGGATGTTATTAGCTTTGACTATCAACAAAATTTGCCAGTACCTGTACTTCCAATAGGTGACATTTTTTATAAAAGGCAGCTTTGGGTTTATAACCAGTGTTTTTACTCGGCAAAAACGGGCCATTCTTATATGTACATGTATAATGAAGTCGAAGGAAAAAAAGGTGCAAATGAGACAGTATCTTTTTTGAAACATTATGTAGACAATGCTGTTGATCCTTCAGTTGAGACCTTGTACTTATTCACTGATAACTGTGTTGGGTAAAATAAAAACATGGTTGTTGTTCAGATGTTATCTTCGTTGGTCGCCATTGGAAGATTTAAAATGATCTACCATCGATTTCCTGAAAGAGGTCATTCGTTTCTACCATGCGATCGCAAATTTGCTCTCATTGAAAAGGAAAAACGCAAAGTCACATACCTTTACTTGCCGGAAGAATGGTATTCCAAAGTTGCAAGAACCTCTAAAGCTTTTACTGTTGTCAATGTACTGCTAAGGATGATAGGGGACTTTCGTTCATATTTCCAATCTTTTTTAAAAAAAGCATAAAAAACTTTACCGTCTCAAAATACAAAAGTTTTAAATATGAGGATAAAAAAATCACCGTTTCTGTATGCCACAATATTGAAAGAAAGAAGAAAACTTTCATTGCATTTAAATCTAACGCAGATTTACTTGCTTTAAAGGAATTGAATGTAGCTCAACTCTACACTACAACCCTTCAGGTTAACCCAAAAAAACTTCAAAACTTAAAGGAACTTCAAGATTCCATTCCTGCAATATATCATGGATTTTATAACTGGAAACATCAGAGCAACAGCAGGAGGAAAGTGAAACCGACTGATCCGAGAGTAGTGATGAATAAAAAAAGTTATTGTTAATCTAATTTGATATTTTGTAAATACAGAATGACAACTAGGTATATCCGTCTTTTATTTATTATTTTTTTCTAATATAAGTAATATTAAACAAAAATATGAGCTCAAAAAACGTTTCAAAACACTTTCAATAAGCATTTAAATAATAATTTGCAGGTAAAAGTACAACTAGTTTTATTAAACATGTTATTTTCATCTCCTGTAAAATTACCTTTTTGGTTTTTACCGAATTATCATTCTGAGGCACTCAATTGCAGTGAACTACCCCAGCTACACAAAACTAGACTTGAGATGAAGGCAGAAAAATATGAGCACCTACAGCAACTTAAGCAAAGTATGGAACATAATTACCATGATTTGTATGACAAGCTTCCTCATGCATAGAAGAAAAGTTGACATAATAATAATAGTTTGATTTATTTCAACATCCTTTACCAATAAACAAAGTATTTTTCAACAACTATACTAAGTTACTCCCATTTCTAATTCCTTAGACAAACTGCGCAACTCCATAATTCTTACGAGAGAAAAAAGACACTCAATTTTTTTGGAAAAACAGGTAATATCATATGGAATACCTGCCCAAAAGTAATAAATCCAATCACTTTCATCGAGAACTTCGTCATAAAATCACAGTTAATAGCAACAAGTAGTAATAATATATTTAAATCGTTTTTTTTTTTGTTTCATGATAAAGGTTGGCAAATGGAAGTTAGCCATTTTGCAAGTTAAGCTGATGATATGTAGTTTCATTTAGCGACCAGTCAAACATTATGTATGATGTTTCAGTAATTGGGCAGAGTAGCCCGGGATGACAGGATGGGTTTTAGTATTTTATACTAAGAATTGACAACAACAAATAGCTTAGAATTGTGATCTTGCGTGCAAATTAAAAAAAAAAATATTTTTGAAAACGAAATTTCAAGTAACGTGTTCAATGAAATAATAAATAGTGGGTTTGAAGTCGACTTTATGCTGGAACTGTAAAAACAAATGATCCTCAACTTAGATATAAGTAGGCGAATTCGCTAAACTAGCCCCGCACGCCTCACAAACCTTAGCAAACTTGGAGTTGACCAAGGTGCATTTTGAACATTCTGACCCTCCTATCTCCATTGGCTGCTCCAATGCCGAATCCCTGCTCTTGCTGCACATTTCACAAATAGGCAACTGAGGATTATTCAGAAACGTACATGCCTTACATTGCCACTTTCCAGCACTCGAAGGAGATTCCACAGGATTCGGATCCGTCTTCTTCTGCGAGGCAAAGTCAATAACCTTCTTCAGATCGAAACTATTGTGATTGGCCTTCTCTAAGTGGTTTGATGTTTTCTCTCTAGGCAAGGATTTTGTCTTTGCATAGTTTGCTGTATTAACCTGAGGCTGGGGTGTCTGTATAGTACCTTCAATCAGTTGGTTATTGAAAGTACTGTTTAGTTTGTTTATATGTTTCTTGGATTCGGTCGCAGGTACGTTGTCGTAACTACTATCGGGCGAAGTCTGTCTGTCTACTTTCTTCACTTCGATAGGCTTGGTCTTCTCTATCTCTGACCTTCTGAGAGCCTCGCTCATTATTAAAGGCCTATCACTGATCGTCAGATTATTTAGGACCTCGTCTGAGTTTGTTGATTTTGTTTTTCTACAGTCTTTCGGAATTTTCGGTAGGCTAGTAGTTAGTATGTCTCCTCTTTCGCCCAAGTCTTTAGTATAGCCTTGGCTTTCAAGATTTCTATATACATATGCCCAATCTTCGAAATGTGAACCGATTTTCTCTGTTTCTCTGTCGCCCATTCGCAATTCGTTATTGTTCTTACCTGTAACATTGCGGATATAAAACGCCTGTAACGTATAATAATTATAATTATCCATGATTGTAATAGTTCAGAAAATAGCGACATTTTTAACTTCAATAGGAAGTTTAATACATAAATTTAAGAAGTGGGACATGTATTTCACGTGAAGGTGTCAAGCGTCGAGTAACGAACAGTGGTTCAGTGGTCACGTTACCGTTTGGTGCTGCAAAAAACCGAACTTGCACGAGGGAAAATGGAAATCAAAGTTTCTTGTATAACTATATTCATAACACCTTGTTGCACATAATGCATGCTGGTTCATGACGATGATATATTTTCCATTTATGACTCAATACTCTTACCTATAAATGTGATACGTTCTGAAGAGACAACTTTTTGAACTACTGAACCGATTTTTTGCGTTATTGCTGTCATAATACGAACATATGCAGATCTTTTCACCGATTTGGGCGATAACGTGACACTGTCATACTAAATAAGTAAATGACTAACTGTACTATGGGCGGAGTTGAACCTCTTCTAACTGAGGAAGTAGCACACTGTCCAAATCGATCTTTAACTAGCTGCTACTCGTTCTTTCATACATGACATGGGATCCCAGAATACTCCAATGAATTTACCGCTATGGACGTTATCCAATTATAGTTTTTCCAGGCATCGCTATATTCTATATCGAATAAGAAAGGAAGAAACTTTCAAGGCACCAAGAACTGAAAAACGTATGTCTGTAAGCTTACAAAAATAAGCGTCCGCACACAGAGGTAGACTGCATGTGTATATATAAAGCCCATGAAAAACTTAAATAAAGTAACCACATGACCAGCGTCAAAGCGGTCAAAGTTGGTTTGTGGTCAAGTATGGCGCCCGAAAATCGCAGATTTAACCACTAGACCTCTCTTGACGCTCTTGAAAATTCCACCTTAGGCGAAAAAGCTTGGATGCACCGAGCAAGTACTGAACGTGATTGTTTTCTAACTAAAGCGGCTGTTTTCGATTTTTGAAAGCTAATACGTAGGATGTGACTTTAGATAAAAGAAAAGAAATATTTCTCCAGCATCGCAAAGTACTGGTATATATTTTTCACAACCCCTACACAGAATCTAAAGTTATCGCCAAGACTCAAATGAAATTAAGAAAGCTGTTCACTCTACGGTTACCACACGCGTTCAGTGAAAAACAGCTAGAGGAACCTGTTAGGTGGTCAAAAAATGGGTCAAGTAAGGTGACTCTGCACTTCCTACACCACGACCTCATTAGTACATAGAGGAATATGTTCAGCGCAAACAAGACTCACTGAGAAAAAAGTCAGTCAAACAGGTCCACTGACATTCTTTCACTGTCCTCCCGGTAGTGCATCTGGAAACGTCGTCTCTCTCCGATACTTAACCAGGGCGAAAGCGCGGTCCAAAGGTAGAAAACACTATGCTGTTGTGCAACAGAGATACGTGTGATTCCATAACAGAATAGTCATGATGGCAGCCGCGGCCGATAGGTTCGCGATCCTCCTCCCAAGAATATTTTTCAGGGCTAAGGTACCGAGAAATCTGCGATGTCTGAAATATATCCAATGGGTGCGTAGAATTGCCAATGTTGGAAGCGTATAAATGTACCAACATAAAAAAAATGAGATACACCCTCCTCAACAGCTTACAAACTTGAAAATCTGGGAACTACATTTGATTAATTTTGTTTCAGATTTAAAAATAGATTATGTAAACAATTATATCAAAATGATCTTCACAAAAATACATTCTTGATCTTTAAATCAGCTGTAGGCATCAGCTCTTCTTGTAAGTTGTAACCACTTTCGCTGAGTTTTTCCATTATTAGGAAAATATATGAATAATTTGTTTGGCGTTATTATAGTTGTGCTTTCATATTGGGGACCATACAGCACTTATAATACGAATTACACAGCTTTACGTTATAGACGCTATGACAGTTTCATGCATTTTTGAGGTATATTCAAATTAATTTTTGAAAAAGAAAAAACATAATGTAAAAGTTAGATTTTTTTGGGGAACAAGATTATTTTTGTGGCTTGTATAGATATTAAGGTATATTATTGTGGGATTTTTCAAATCGTATCAACAAGCCTATTGTAATTGCACTGGTAGGAAAATGTCAAAATAGTCAGTTCTTATTGGAACTAAATGATTTACTGACGGACTATTCACATAGTCCTTAAGTCTGACGAGGCGTTATTTTCTGCGTTTTAGAAATTATAAGAGATATCAGCTGACGAAAGGTTAATTCCTATGAAGTGGTCTATAGATTGTCGCAACAATTATTTTGAAAAACATTAGGTATGGCAAAAATTATAGGGCATTCTACTTACGAGGTCTGTAAATTAAGTGATGGGACTGATTTTTTTTTATTTTTTATTCCAATACAATAACAATCTTATATTGTCACCCTCAAAATAACCGCCTTCTGAAGCGACATAGCGCTGGAGACGGTTCTTCCACTCCTGATAACAGTACTGGAACTCCAATACTAGAATAGCCTTCAGCTAGTCGGTTACCGTTTGAATGTTTTCGACTGTCACAAAATGAGTTTCTTTGAGGTGATTCTTCAACCTCGGGAAACGAAAAAAGTCACAAGCACTCAAGTCGGGCGAATAAGGAGGCTGAGGAGCCACAGGAATGTTTTTACTGGCCAAAAACTCCTTTACTGACATTGCTGTGTGACAAGGAGCATTATCGTGATGCAACACCCAGTTGTTCTTGATCTAATGAAGGGTCGCGTGAGTCAAATTTAACTCTTCCCCGATCATTCTGACCTAACTGACAACCGACGATCTGATTCTGTTAATATTTTCATCCGTTCTTGAAGATGAAGGCCGTCCGCTTCGTGGTTCATCTTCAATCGACTCTCTCTCTCTCTCTTCAGAAAATGCCTTAAACCACCGAGACACCTATGCTCTTAGCAAAACACTGTCTGCGTATGCCTGCTGAAGTTTAGCAGAGTTTCCGTTGTACTGTGCCCAAGTCTGAAGCAAATCCTGGTAGCACTCCGTTGTTCGAAATTGATGTCAGCATTTTTTAAAACACAATAGGAAACACTGTTTCACAAAAAAAAATCGCTACGGACAACCAAATACTCGAGGGAGTTCAAACTTGTACTGAAAGCGGATTACATGTTTCTCTGTCCCCTCCAAGCCTGGCGCCTCCAGTGTTGCCAGTTCGAACGCTACGTTGCCAATCTCATCACTTAATTTACAAACCTCGTATTAAAATAGAAACTTACCTCTAAGCACTGACGAATTACCCACCGCCTCCGCCGCAACCTTCCCACCTTGAATCTTACAACAACTCTGTGGCCCATCCACCACATCGTAGGCACCGTTCTGCATCCCACCGCCCACTTCGACCAATTGCGCAGTGGGCACGTACTGTGGGGCAGTCATCGGGGGTGGCGGGGCAGCGACGGGGGTGGCCATGTAGCCGTTGAAGTAGTAAGCGGGGGCGGGTGCGAACGGGGGCCGCAGCACTGGTTGGTATAGGGCGTATGCCGATGTTGGAGGTACCGCGGCAGCTGAGACGCAGGTGAACGGGGTACATGATGGGCACCTGACCAAACAGAATACAATTTGTTTTACTAGAGCACTGGAGAATAACATCCGATCCAATATTTTTATGGAATATGATTTGTCAAATAGGGATCGACTTATACCGATATATCGACAATATCGGACTATGCCGATATAGGTCGGACAAAATACAGGGTGTTTCAGAAAGACGAAAATAATAAAAGTTCCATAAATATGGGTCCAAGATACCGAGATACGGGGTGATGAAGTTTTATTTACGAAATCGAAAAAAGATATCTACGGAGCGGGTAAAGATACTGAATTAAGATTTTAGACATTCGGCACATCATAAGCAAGAAACACACAGAGTTTCCCGGACAAAACCAAACAAGGGACGTAGAAACTGGGGTACCTGGACCCCTAATAGGAAATATTTTCTTCGCCACTGGCTTTTTCGAAGACAAGAAGTGCAGTTTATAAAATACTATTCAAATGTCCATAAGTTTTGTCTCTTAAGGAATGTTTGTCAGATCACTCGTTTTGGTGATATTTAAGTTTGTACATTTGAAGCAAAATCCTAAAATAGCCTTATAAAAAGGTTTAGCCTCGCCTATTATGAAAAGACCGTGAAGCTTAATGTTGCAAGCACTATATGATATGTGAAGGAAGCTTTGGAACCACATTACAGCATTATTTGAATGATATATGTGTCATATCTTCGATTGGTAGCATATATCCTACTTATTCACTAAACCTTTCCTGTGCAAGCCACTGGTTTTACCAGCATATTCATGTTTAGCATAGTCATTTTTTATAATCCTTAAGAAGGAAATAAAGCATATTGTCATCCTCCTCATACTTCGTGTCCAAGGTTGCTAATGATTTGTGATACCATCTTTGTTGAGCTCACTTAATCCGAAATGCTAAGGAATTTAATTTTGAGAAAAAAGCGCCGAAAATTCCAGTAGGTTAATAAGAATTTTACTCAAATTGATTGGTTCCACAATTACTAGTTGTGATTTTAGACAAACAAGAAGAATCTAACATGGGTAATATCAGTAGAAGTATTCCATGAAAACTAGTGGCGTGAATAGACAAGGTTTAATGAGTAGTAAGTTTCTACGCTACTGATTGAAGATAGGACACGCATATTATTAAATTCAGAATGTGCGGTTCAGAGTGCATAGTATCGAATTTAATACAGCCTGATCAATGTTCCGAGAATTCTTTTCGCCTACAACTCGCATTCTGAATTAAACAAGAATTAAGGTGTGCCCGCGCTCTAAATGAAAATATCGGCCGCGAAATGTTCAGCCACACCTTGTCAAAAGCCTTCGCGACATCCACAAGCACGATGCCAGTACTTTTGTCATTGGTGAATCCGCTAGTTATACGCTCGATCAGTCTAACTGCAGGCAGCTCCGTGCTATGTTCCGACCGAAACCCGAATTGAACGTCGGGAATCATATTATGATCCGACGAGAAATTCTGAAGATGACGGAGTATCACCTTTTCAGCGAGCTTGGATGGCGCTAGCAGTAATCTAATAGAACGATAATCCTGTGGAAATATCGAACCAGCATTGCATTGATTACTGTCACGGGATACGTCAAAGCTTTTGAACAGAGCACCTTTAGCGCCTTGTTAGTAATCTGATCCTCTCCAGGTGCTTTACGCACCTTGAGGTCTTTAATATGACCAAGGAGCTCCGCTGGTGTGCAATGCGGAATCTCAGATGGTTCCGCTGATGTGCTATGTGAATCCTCTGTCGAGGAATCTTCCGTAGAGGAGTCCTCTGAGAAGGATCCACTAATACTGGCAGAGATTTCACTTGCCATTTCTGAGCGTGTTCGCAACCTTCCAGAGACGAGTACTCGAATCGAGCATTCCAGCTAGAAAATTGCTCCATTGCTCGTTACGGAACTCATGAAAAGCGTTTCTTACTTCATGGACAAGATTGGTGGCTCTACGCATGTCAACTGGGTGACAAGACCTTTTCGCTTGTTTAAGTGCAGCTCTTTTGTCAGAAATTTTCTGACGTATATCCACAGGGAGAAAGGACCTGCCGCGTCGCTGTACTAGAAGCACAGTTGCACGCTGTAGAGCTTTTTGATTGGAACTTGTCCACCGCATTTGAGCAGCATCTATTTTGTTCTCATCGCCTATGATCGGGATATTGAAAAACTCTCCGAGGAACGATTTGTACAGCTCCCAAGACAGGAAGGTGATCGCTTGAGGTGTGATACTGTATCGACAGTTTCTGGATATGGCGAAGTCAATGACATCAGGTGCCTGAAGATGATTGAAAGGATGGTGCGTCGGCTCCTCAGTACTGTATACAAGGTATCCGTTTCATACCACATGATTGTAAAGCCGAATTCCACTAGTGGAATTCAACCTGGAATGCCATGCTCGATGCTTGCTGTTGAAGTCCTCTGCCACAAGAAGTGGACCCGAACAGTCCAAAAGGACTTCCAGATCCTCTTCTGGCAGCCTGGCACCAAAATCAATATTGCATATCATAGTTTGAAAATTGTGAATTTAAAATTACAAATAAAGAAATACATATATTATCCACATCTGCAAATCTTGTTGTGTTAATTCTATTTAACTTTATCGATAAGAATATTACTGTTCTTCAAATAACAGGGCATATATATTTACATCTCCACGTGGATAGGTCCTCCTTTCATAAACCAGCAATAAGTCACCTACCAGAAATACTGAATATATATCAAATTTAATTCGTGAATATCCGACACCAAGACACATTGATCCAAGATCAGTTAAAAAAATATTTCGGATTTCCATACAAAGTCCGCTATATAGGTCTCCCTTTCAAAAACCGTATGATGTGTCCTCTACCGGAATACCCTCCAGATAACAAAGCGGCATTAGGTCCTCCAAAATACTCAAATTATCTAAACACCAGTGGATAAGTCCTCCGTGCAGTGGTGCCAAGTTTCAGTTATTTCTCTTAAGATAATGCAATTGAAGTCTCCTAACTCGGGCTTGTATTATTCTATTACCTTCCAAGGATCTAATGCTAAAAGGTCCATGCATCATTCGAATCGCCTTTCACTAAGAAATGTTTAAACTTTTTTGTTATAGATAAAATAAAGAAAAAATGTCGATTGGTGCTTTGTTGGGACTGTACGGCACGGCATTCTGAACTAATCCATTGACTCGAAAATGCGCCATATAACCCTGATCTAGCACCACCAGATTTCTAACTTTCCCTAACGTTAAGAAATTTTTCAGTGGAAAGCGATTGGAAAATGATGAATTATGGAATAAACTGTTATTTACGGGTTGAAAAGCTGATGTCATGACTCAACGAATATTAGAATTTTAATGACAATTATTTTGTTAAGTGGGAACATTGTCATACTTTTGTGATAAAATTTACGTTTATAAACAGAATTCCCTTCATCTCATTGTAAAACCGTTGTTGCTTGAAAAATGAAGTAATTTTAAATTAAAGCTGACGAATGTCACTATTTTTTTCTGAATCTTTAGTATGGTAGATCCCAAACCTTCTGTTCTGGTATTAGTGGTTTTATTTTTTCAACATTATATATTCAGTTATGTATGATTACCTTCGTAACTAAAATTTAAACTGATATTTTTTGGGTGTATCCTTCGCTCCTATAACCGCATGCTTGTCGTTTCCGAAGCAAAATATATGTATTTTACATACATATCATAAAAACGAATCAACTGATTTATCGTGTTAAGTAATTTAAATCTACATTTGCCATACTTTGATGACCCGTGTTATAGACATAAAATGAGATAAAGCCCTTATCCTAATTTTCTATTTTGAATTCAGATGTCTCATGTATGTATGAATATTCCGCAGGATAACGAATATCAAAGGTTTTTTTTTTGTTTTTTATATCGAAGCAGCCGCGCAGGCAGAAGCCTAAATGCCGGAACACCGCGGCTGCTATGATGATCCCAAAGAAATTTTGAAAATACGATTTTTGAACTGCCTAAGGTTAGTAGAACTACTCTTGTAGATTGTTCCACAATCTCGACACCCTCGGGACAAAGGAGCGGTCGTATCGGCCAGTTTTGGATGTACAAAGTTCGACACGGTTAGGATGGGACACCAAAGTCGGACGGGTGTGTCTGGCAGGCACATCGCGCGGTGGCATCATGGAAGCAAAGCCCGTTAGTATCTCATTGTAAAACCGTTGTTGCTTGAAAAATGAAGTAATTTTAAATTAAAGCTGACGAATGTCACTATTTTTTTCTGAATCTTTAGTTCGGTAGATCCCAAACCTTCTGTTCTGGAATTAGTGGTTTTATTTTTTCAACATTATATATTCAGTTATGCATGATTACCTTCGTAACTAAAATTTAAACTGATATTTTTTGGGTGTATCCTTCGCTCCTATAACCGCATGCTTGTCGTTTCCGAAGCAAAATATATGTATTTTACATACATGTCATAAAAACGAATCAACTGATTTATCGTGTTAAGTAATTTAAATCTACATTTGCCATACTTTGATGAGCCGTGTTATAGACATAAAATGAGATAAAGCCCTTATCCTAATTTTCTATTTTGAATTCAGATGTCTCATGTATGTATGAATATTCCGGAGGATAACGAATATCAAAGGTTTTTTTTTTGTTTTTTATATCGAAGCAGCCGCGCAGGCAGAAGCCTAAATGCCGGAACACCGCGGCTGCTATGATGATCCCAAAGAAATTTTGAAAATACGATTTTTGAACTGCCTAAGGTTAGTAGAACTACTCTTGTAGATTGTTCCACAATCTCGACACCCTCGGGACAAAGGAGCGGTCGTATCGGCCAGTTTTGGATGTACGAAGTTCGACACGGTTAGGATGGGACACCAAAGTCGGACGGGTCTGTCTGGCAGTCACATCGCGCGGTGGCATCATGGAAGAGAGCTCTGCGGAGCAAAGCCCGTTAGTATAGCGGTAGAAAAGAGCTAGATCGCCGATGGCCCGCCGGTGCGAAAGAGTCCCGAGACTGTCTTTTAGAGAAGAGTCATCGATCAGTCGGACCGCCCTCCTCTGGACAGCATCGAGCATGGAAAATGTAGTCGGGGCGGCAGCACCCCAAACGTGTGAGCAACACTCGAGGCTAGGCCTTATCTGGGGCTTGTATAGAATGGGAAGATCGTGCGGAGAAAAGTACTTCTTAGTCCTAAACAAATAGCCTAGCTTTTTCCCAGCAGCTGCATCTATTGTCGAGACGTGTTCGTGCCAGATCAGGTCCTCGATGATCTGGGCCCGACCAGCCGAAACGGATGGCTCTTTGGCAGAACTCGGCCATCCATCGAAACCGGATGAGCGCTAGGAGGCTTTTTGGTTCGTCAAAGTACAGTTCTATGTTTTGGAAGCATTGAACTGTACAAGATTGTTGCGCCCCCAAGCAGTGATAGCCTCCAGGTCTCTTGTCAGAGAGGTAGTCCTCGCTAGTCTTCTTTTTTCCAGCTCAGCGGCAGAGATCGGCTTGTCACTCTGAATTCCTTCATGTAGAGCGCTGTCATCAGCGAAGCTGTGAATTGGGTTGATCGTGCAGGAAAGGAGGTCGTGGATATGTAAGAGAAACTGTCGGAGCCAAGACCGATCCCTAAGGAACACCCGCGTTGACGTTGTGGGTATGAAGAGGAGAACCCGTCAATTACTAAGGATATCTTGCGGCCAGAGATAAAGTCAGCCACCCATCTGCAAAGCTTTTCTGGGAGGCCATAGGATGGAAGTTTGCTTAAGAGGGCAGCGTGCCACAGCTGATTGAACGCTTTCGAGATGTCAAGAGCAACGACATGAGCCTGACCATAAGACTGGATGAGTTTACTTCACAATTGCGTGACGTAAGCTAGGAGGTCCCCTGTGGATCGTTGGTGCCGGAAACCATACTGCCTGTCGCTAATCAAGCTGTGGCGATCGAGGTAGTCCAGAAGCTCGCGATTTATGCACCTCTCCATTACCTTATTTATAACAGAAAGCAGAGCTATAGGCCTGTAGTTGTAAGGGTCGGTCTTAGATCCTTTTTTTGGGACGGGTTGGACATGAGCAAATTTCCAGTTTTCTGGGAAGGTGCCGGATTCATAAGATATCTGGAAGAAACACGAAAGAACTGGACCAAGCTCCGCTGCACACCTCTTCAGTACAATGGTAGGAATCACGTCCGGACCAGAAGCTTTGTTGATGTCGAGCGACAAGAGCACTCGCCTTGCGGTCTTATGCCTGATTGTTACCTCCCGCATAGTGTAGGGAACTCTTTGAATTGACGGCGGGGGGACGTCCATGGTGGAGTTGGCAGCAAAGATCTTGGCTAGCACTTCCGCCTTGGCCTTTGAGTCGAATACAATAGTTTCATCCTGACACGTAAGTGGTGGAAGGCTACTGTGTGGGAAGTTATTTTCAATCTGCTTGGCTAGTGTCCAGATAGACCGACTGACATTGCGCTGCGACATTACCCTGTGCCTAACTTTTATATCGTGCTGGTTTTTGGCATTGCGAACCGCTTCGTTATATTTGTTTATGGACTCGACGCCGGCTTGTCTGTTCTCTACAGTGGGGTTTTGTAAGAAGGTTCTGTGTGCCTTGATCTTCTGCTGGCGAGCAGTGTCACACGATTTGTTAAACCAGCCATTGGACCCTGGTTTAGGCACTTTCACTGTGTGAGGGATGTATTCCTCCATTCCGACGTGGATAATTTCTGTTATCGAAGAACAGACAGCCGACGCACCCGCGTCAGTGGAACAGACATCTCTCCAAGGAAAGTTAGAGAAGAAGTTTCTGTGTTGTTGTGACCGAAACCTAACCTCTACAACACCGTGGTCTGAGTTACCCAAGGGGGACAGGACAGCAGTGCTGTAAGGGACAGGATGCATGGTCAGAAAGAGATCCAGCAGGCTAATGACGCGGGGGAAAAAGTAGGGCTCGTCACCAGCAGGGTCAGCCCTTGAGTAGGAGCGAGCGCTTCGACTGCACGACCTGCTGCATCGGTCTTGTTTGAGCCCAACCAAAGCTCATTATGGGCATTAAAATCACCAATAAGAACTACCTCTGAAGCGGGGTGATTGATGTTCAGGAAGTCGATCTGAAGATTTATTGAAAATAGAATACCTTAACTAACACCTCGCCAAATCCAGATACACCTCATTCCCTCAGCCCCCTACCCCCAAAAATTATTCGGAAAACGATTAGGAAGCTCTAAAATATTCAGAAATACTTAAAACGATTTTTAGTTTTGTCGTTGATTAATACTAGCTCCGCCGCCCGTAACCCCCGCCACCAAAATGTACAGCCCTAAAATTTTCTTGGAGGAATGTCTGAAACATCCGGAAGCGAAGTTTGACCATTTTTTTCTTCGTTTATTAACCACTCTGCTGTTACTCCACCGATTTCCGAGAATATTCAAGGTTCTTTGTGCATGGCATAACAGCAACCTAAAGCAGATTTTTTTATGATTACAATAATTCCTGTCAATAGGCGTGGTAAGTAAAGGCATCTGTCTTAAACCGTAAAACAAAAATAACATCTTTCATTTTATTCCATAGAATATTGGATTTGAGCATTACATTCGAACAAATATCATCGCTGCATTACGGTACTCCCAGTCACGGCCGCTCGTGTGTAATACTTGACGGCGAACTGGGCCGTAGCAGACATAGGAAGATGAAAATCCAATCCTCTTGCAAAACAATTCTAATAAATGCCTAATACAGCGATGCCAATATTAAGGAGGACCTAAAAGCCACGATCTAGATACTAAATACCCGGCAGATGACCTATCCACTGTAGACTTGATTGAAAATATACGGGCTGAATACCCGCGCGACTGTGAGTCCACCAAATCGGCGCGGCAAAGCCCGGAACTACGGTACTCAAATTTAACAAAAAATACGATCTGGGTCATCCCTCTGGAATTTTGCCGGGCAAAGGGAAACCCCTCAGGCCGACTGGTGAAAGTTGCGATAGGTCCTCCATATACGGAGGACCTAGCGCAACGGAGGACCTATCGACTCTAAAAAGCCAATGAGTGGAGGACCTAACTATCGGAATCTGTATATATATATATATATATCCATCTACCTACCTGTTTGTACAACATCCATTAGAATACATTGCATCTGGTAGTCCAACACTATGATTATTTCCCAGAGGTGGGAATGAATGATTCACGGGCAATACTGGTGACATTGCGGAAGGCATAGCTGGTAATGTATGCCTTACCATATTTGAGCCCTGCAACATCGAGTTGTTTTCAAATTGAGACAAAACCAAATAATGATATATACCTGGGAATAATGTCTGCTATGTTCGTGATACTGTTCGGGTTGGTGCTGTTTATATTTGAAACTCTTCACAACTTGCTCAGGACTGCAAATATGTCCGCGACGAAACTCTAGAACTTCCAGCCATGTTGTGTTCATACAGGCTGATGACAGCTCTTCCCAAATTATTTTTAATATCTATAAATGAAATATTCATGTATCATATTTTAACTCATCACACTGTTGAACCATACTAAATGTTTTCCCACCTGGCATTCCACATATGCTATTAAACAGTCCCTAGACACAGATGAAACTCTATCTGGGCAAATAGGACCATGAAGTACTAGAATTCCATCTCTCTCACGTTTGTATCCCATTGCTTCAAACAACAGCTCAGCTCCTACAAGATTTGCTTCTACTTGATGTTTATAAAAGCCACAGTAAGTCTGGAAAATGATAACATTTCCAACTCTTTGATTTTTTCTTGATCAACGATTAAAATCATATTTCATAATAAGCAATTACAAGCTGTAAAGAATTCAAAAAACCTTGATGAGCACCATCAAGTCGGAATGTAAAATAAAAACTGATTGATTTAGTAGACCTGGGAAATAGCCGGGTTATAGAGGAAGTTCACAAAGAGAGGTTTCCAGGACCAAAACATGGATTCTGTCCAACATTTCAACTCATGCTTTAACGGGATGCGCTTCAGTTTGAGAGAAATGAAAAATGTCATAGCGATCTAATTACGTTAAAAAATACTTGTATTTACAAGCTTTTGTTTAACTTGACCTGTTTGTATGTATTTATTGTAACAAAACCTCAATTTTTACAGTTCACAGTCTAATTTACTTCTGTAACACTAATTTGTGACTGTCTCGACTGACTGTTTTCGCCATTCGACTCACACGGCGGATCTCGAGCGTTTTGGGGCCTTCATCGGAGCTTGCTAGATGATGTTCCATGGTTCTTAGCATTTGATAGATACCGGTGGATACATCTCGAACCTCGGCCAAAGCCTCTAGATAAATAACGCTACAAGCATGAATTACTAGATTTATACCTGAATCATTATTGCCAATGTCACAGACTAATGCAAATATGACACTAGCTGATCAGCTCTGCACCTCAGTAGACATCAAAAGGTGATGGGTACTCGTGAAATAGGGTTTACCTAACAATTTCCTTTGGGCTAAGTTTTAGGTTAAAGTAGTTATAAATTACATGCCAAGGTTAAGTATGAATGGCCATTCGCCACATGTTGCCATTTGTAACTGTAATTTACTATTGTATGTTACAATAAAGTTGATTGAATTAAAATGAGTTGAATATGACACTCAATGCTGATATTTTCAAAAACTACATTCTTTGACTGAAATCCTGTATCCATTATACTATTTGTTCAAAATTGGGGTTCATGGATTTTCAAACAATAGTTGAATTTACTGGAAACAAGTAATTACCTTTATTGTTCGATATTCTTTCCTCCATGGCTGTGACAACAAGTTCCCAGCATACAACTGGATTGCTGCAAACCCTGTAGAAGCTTTATAAGCACTAAAGTCTTTCTTTCGGCTTGCAGACATCTGTAAGACTTCTTCTGTTTCAGCATAACAAAATTTGTGACGGTGTGGAGCAATGCATAGGAATTCATAGATAATTTCTGAAAATTGATAGTCTTATAAGGGATGATCTTTACCAGAAGCAACTGCAACGTGGAACATGTACTTGAATTCAAGCATTTACACCAAACAAATGGCAGCATAGCCAGTTGCATAATCATAACTGGCACAGCCATTGCTATTTTTTGGCGGCATCCAACCAATTGATGAAAAATATCATCTGTGGATATCATTGTAACACTTTAGATAATGTACCAGCTATAGCCACAAGAAACTATTGATTACTATTACACAACATTACCAATGCCATTAAAACAAAAAGTGTGATAAGCAAGTTAATCATATACATATAAGTAATCATCAGACTTACAAAATATCTTTGCATACAATGTGTTACTTTTTACATATCATTCATTGTACATATACTTGTTATGTATTGGAAGATGTTTGATGAAAAAAAATACTGCATAATATGCTCCTTTTGCTTGATCTGCCAAAATTTTAGTTGCGAAATTTGTCAATTATATGGTTTTTTTGAATAATTTCCTTTAAGACCAAAATGGTATTTTCTCAAATGTTTATCTGGACAATAAAACCTTATATTTGAAATGCTTCTTTAATGGAGTAAATGTTTCAGTTACAATTGGGATATCTTCTTGAGTACAAGAAACATTATGTACTGAAGAAGATCACCATTGTGACCGAAACATTTACTACATTAAAAAAGAATTTCAAATTTATGTGGCTTCATTGGCCACCCAAACATGGGAGATAACTGACATGAAAACCACAGGATAAGTTTGAGATGGTACATTAACCAAAATGGTATGTTTAATGCTATCTTAAGCCTTCTGATAGTAAGTATACTTACATATAATTACTTTATCTACAACCTTAAAATAAGAATGTCACAGTTCCTCTGGTACAAACATAGCCAAGTCAAGAAGGCATTGAAGTTGGATGCATGGGCTGCTTTTGGTGAGGTCGGTGCGGTTACTTAATAGTATAGTAGTAATAGTTACCTTCAAGTTTGTTTCTTTGCTCTATTTTTTCGGGGCTCTCTTCAAGCTCCAAATAACTCAAATGGCACCGTTCTAGTTCCAACCACAGCTCATCGAGTCTGTCTTGAGGTGGTATGTAGTTTTCCATGATGACCATATTCTTTTAAATGTTTAGACTGATTCCTTCTGCAGGTCACGTAAAACTCTTTCTTGGCGCTGTCTGCAGATTAAGCTATTCTGCTTTGACAAAAATATCCAAAACAGACAGCCCTAACCTAATTAAAAATCTAATACGACACTAGGCTAAGTTTGTCGCGATATTTATAGAAATTGGCAAACATTTTTGTTGGAAACAAATATTTTTATTCCTACCATTACACATTTCTTGTTGGTGCTTTGTTTTGACAGATGATTAACCTTATATCATAACACGTATCAAAAAGGTATCAACTCATTCCCAACTGCGATTTCTAAATCCCAAACCTATGAGTCACACACATATACACTTTGGTCCGAGTAAAGATCACACAAGACAACCGTTAAAGTTTACTCTACTATGCCCAATAAGACTATCCACAGTGACATTTGAAATCGTCGCATAAAACTCAAAAAATGGAAATGAAAATTGCAAAATTGACATTACATCCAAAAGACGCAGTTGGTATCTCGGGCTAGACATGAATCTTTGCAGCTGACCTTGTCATTCTTGTCACCTAAGTTGCGGCGTTGCAAGCTCATCGGATGTTTTTGCTGCCTTTGCGATTTCGCTAAAACCTCAGAAAAAATTATTTCAATATGTTCATAAAATATCCCCAATAAGAGTAATATCTCTTTCAGCAGTTTTGCTGAGAACAAGGTTAAGGATAATAAAATCCAACACTAATTATGAAGCACAAAATATATTTAGTTTCAAAAAATAATCATATGCTGTTAACAATGGTATACAAATTTTATTACACGAAAATACAGATAGATTTATTCAAAATTCATATTTTGTGTTGCAGAACATAGATGTCTCACTTCATTGAATTGATTCTTGATCATTCTGAAACAATACAGAAAACATTAATGCGATTCATAATTCTTTGTAAATAAGCTAGTCACTTTTGGTTATTAGTTTGCTCAGTTCTATGCATTCAATTTGTTAGCCTAGATGGGCAAAATTTTGCTTTAAAAAGCTTAGTGCCTAATTACTGTACCGATATTACCATGTCTTTGTTAATACAAAAAAAAATCGTTTATCACGGGGCCAACTACAAGGATTATAAAGAGGCAGAATCCAGACATGCGATTCTAAATAATCTACCAACTACATCATTGCCAATATTTTAGGTTCACGTTCACAGCCTAGCTATAGCACTTGACATGACAGAGTTTCCTGAACTTCTACATCTCCCACAATATATCTCATTCTCATGTATAACATCACAGCTACTGATAGCGCTGCTTAATTTTTTATACTCATTTTTAACTAAATATCTCCGAAAGCAGCAGCGTTGATAATCTGGATATCAACCAAAACAAACGCCATATTTGATATTTTTACATTTAGATAAAGATAGAGAATCCTGACAAACAGTACGTCACATGATGCCGGTAATATAGTTTCCTCGATTTTGCCTGGAGAGGATGACCTAGGTGTTGCCTGTTCGCCTATAAGACGTCTTACTCATTTACCCCCTGCCTTCTTCAGTGTATATGCTTTGTGATGTTCACGTTGTATGTTGTATAATGTTTTGTGGTAGTTCTGTCACAGGTTTTGTGTTCGTGGTTGTTCGTGAAAGCGGTTATGTTGGCGTGTAGATCATATGTTACTTTATTGATCTTTTTTGAATCTATCTGTAAATTATAAACTTTTCTGTGAATCAAACTAGCGATAAATATCCTCCACTTATACTAGAACGGGTCCATATCTTGCCTTGGGACCACCAGTGAGATTGGAACTGACCCTGAATGTTCACACCTGTCCATAATGCCGTCAGCGACTGCCGCCAAAGTATAAAAGATGTTTTATCAACCTCTCTGCAAAATAAGAAGATACTAGCATTATTCTGAGGTATAGTACTGAACAATGCATCCTACTATAATTTGACGAGTGAAGAAAGATATGGAAAGTAATTCTTGCTCTGCCGACGACTTTTCAAGGTACGATAACCACGTACACATCACGATGGATCATGATAGTGGTTACATATCTCATAATCCTGAATCAAATTTAGACTCTCCTTTGGAAAGCTTAAGTGAAAACTCGCATATTTCTGAACCTGTTTTTCTTAGTGAGGATGCTTTATTGGAACGACCCACAATAAGTAAAAGTGACCTTAGTTTACAAATTGAAAATGAAAACTATGAAGAGACTAGGCAACTATTTTTCAATGTTTCTGACAATGAGACAGTCATACCAGCTTCAGTATCCAGCAGTGAGGATAATTTTGGTGGTTTGAGAAGCTTAGATTCATCAAGTTCGAATAAGTCAACAGAAATACCCATATCTGCTCCCATTGTTGTAGAATCTAAAGCTACATTTGATATAACCACACCTTTAGAGAATGTTAATGAATCATCAAAAGCAACAGAAGATACCAGCACTGCTTTTACTAATATAACAAATACACTAGCTACAGCTGATCCTAAGAAAAAGTTAGTTTTAGTACTGGCAAAAAGTGATAAAGAAAATATGTACACTGTTAAAAGGAAATATAGAAGTCTAACTCCAGAACCTGAAAAACAAGTAAACTCTAGTTATGATAGTAACTTGAGCAAAAATTCAATATCTGATACAAGCATGTCATTAGATGAGACATTAAATAATCCTATATTAACATCTAAAAGCATGAGGGAGCCTAAAAATGAAAATTTATTGGATCAGAAGTGTGATAAGAAAAATGAATCAACATGTACTGCTTATTCTGATATTTCTATGGACTTGAGCCTAGTGGACAAATCATGTGACTTTGATGATAAGATTGAGTCAAAAACTCAAAATATCCTTGATTATCCTGCAATAAGTACACATGATGCATGTGGGGATAATAAGAAACAATCACTAATGACTGATAACCAAAGTATAACAGTTATAAGTGCAGACCAAAATTCAGGCAATAATATCATCAATTGTACTGTTGCAATCAAATCTGAGTACTCAAACATTATTCGCTCAGATGAAGTTTCTGTGGATCAACAATTAACTGTAAGTTGTGATGTCTCACAAAATATAGGTTTAATAGATATATCTGATGTGGGTTGTGTAGTTTCTACAAATTCAACTCCAAAAAAAGAATATATCAATCCTGCAAATACTTGTATGAGTCCAGATCTTTTTGAAGAGGAGGAATCTGTTCGGCCAATTATTGAGCCAAATCGGTCAACAAAACAAGTTGCTGAAGAAAAGTACTTGCACAAAAAGGATAGTAGACTTATTCGTAGAATTCAAGATAATTTGAAAGGTGTATTGCCACCTCAGAGTGTGACAATTTGCACTCTATCTGTAGATGAGATTCTAAAAAAAATTGAATCTAACAAATCGTATTTCTGGAATAATGAGACTGTAATAAAAGAAAATTTGAATGTTAGCAATGAAAGTATTGTTCCTGGTGAATCAAGATCCTTGCTCATCACTGCACCTTTGAAGGAATGTACCGAGAAGGAGTTTCCACATATATTGGGGGAAAGAAATCATGGATTGCAGTAAGTATTTTTGTCTTATTGATTCCTGAGTTTGAGCATACCAATAAAGAACATCTTACATCCTTATATGTATAAATGTAAACATTTACTAAAGAATTGTAGCTCTTGCAAGGTATAATGATAATATTGAAATGCAGACCTTGTTAGGATATAAATTCTATATCTATATAAAAGCAAGTCATGTTTAATAAACAATAAAAACAAACATGTTTACTATTAGACCCTAGCTTGTATCAAGTATTTCTGACATTGAGATGGTAGATTTGTTCTTCATTGATATTGGTGAAACTTGTTCATTAATCCATATTTGACAGTCAGGCCAGGAAAAAAAGGGAGGCTGGCTACTGTTAGTGATATGAATATTACATTTGTGTTTTTGAAAGGTCCCTTCATTCTGAAAATTGATTTACTTTCCCAAGAAATTAATACACCACAGTTGGGCAGACAATTTTTTATTAGTAAAGTAAGTTAGTGTATTTACAGTATTTTTAGAAGTTTTATTTTCTATATATATATACAAAAGTAGGAAAATAATGGGCAAAATCTGCAAAAAGGAGGAAAGTGGATTCGAGCCGGTTATAGCCACTTGATGTGGTACTTCAAGCCCAAAGGATCTACAAAGAGAAAATGACCACTTTCCTCCTTTTTGCGGATTTTGCCCAAACACAAATAATAAAAATGTAGCAGGGTGTTATAGGTTTGAAATATTAACAATGAATATTTTGATAATATATAGTAAAAAACACCAACTTTATCACTCCCTAATCAAATTTGCAGCATATAACACATGTTGCAATTACAGCATATCAACCTATTGTCATTTCAATGCAAAATAAGTCTATAACACAGGTGGCTGTGAAAAATAAAAGCCATGACAATTGTTTTTATTAATCACAGCTGTCAGAATACGTTTAAAATAGTTTTGGGTAGTTAACGTTTTCAAAATGGGTAGAGGAAAGGTTATTAGTGAGAAAATTCTGTTACTGGTAATTAAATTTCTTAATTCGGGGAAATCAAAATCAGAAATTGCAACTTTGTTAGACTTATCGCGGTACAGTGTGAGAAATATTGTTAGAAGATATAATGTAACTGGTTCAGTTAATATTAAACCACGATATGTGAAAAAAAGTAATATCACAAATGCCGACCGAAGAGCATTAAGAAGAATAATCGTGAAAAACAGGCGTGCCAATTATTTATAATTAAGTTCTATGTGGAGTGACGCTGACGCTGTTGGAACCAGAATTTCGAGGTCCACAACTCATAGAGAGACCCGCAAACTGGGATTTAGCACTTGCAAGGTAAGTTTTCTTATAAAAAAAGTGAAGTAAAATCCCTAAAGTTGCACAACTTGTTTATAGGCCAAAGAAAAGTCACTATTAACTCCACTGCAAAAGAAAAATCGGCTTAGATGGGCTAAAGAACATAGACAATGGACACCTCAACAATGGTGTACAATACAATGGAGTGATGAGACCCGATTCGAAGTTTGTGTTGGTGACAGTCGCAGTAGAGTTATTCGCAAAAAAAATGAAGCATTCCATATTGACTGTCTGAAGAGAAAAGTGAAATTTCCAGCATCCATTATGGTCTGCGGCAGTATGTCATCAAAAGGAGTAGGAAAACTTCATTTTATTGATGGAAATGTGGATACAAACAAATATTTGGCAATTTTAGAAGAATCGCTTTTACCAGTGATGGAAGAATGTTTGACATCCGGCCAAGATTTTGTGTTTCAGCAAGATGGAGCAGCATGCCATACCTCAGAAAAGGCTATAAAATGGATGGAAGAAAATAATGTACCACTTTTGAAATGGGTTTCTAGCAGTCCAGATCTGTCACCTATTGAAACTTTGTGGTGGCACGAGATGAAAAAAGTTCTACGACAACATCCTGCTCGTACAATCACCGAACTGAGACAAAAGCTTCAAGAAATATTTGATTGGTTTACACCAAATTTTTGCCAAAACTTGGTTAACACTATGCCCCAAAGAATTTCAGCCATAATAAAAAATAAAGGTGATGTTACCCAATGGTAATCTTTCAATTGTTGCATTGTTAACTTCGCGCATTTATTCGCACATTGTTTATTTGTTCAGATGTTCTATTAGTTATGGGTCTAAGTGATTTCAAATATGTATTTTTTACGACTAGAGTGTATCTAAAATGTTTTTGAGAAAATAAATTATTTTAGAAGTAAATAGATTCGTCATGTTTAGTTTATAAAGGCATATTTTGGTACAAATCTTGAAGTGGGCCAACTGAAGGAAAGGGCTCATATAAATATATGTCTTTCAACACCTATGTATATGGTTTTCATTGCAAAATTCAGCAGATACAATACTAAGTTAAAATTAAAACAATATTTTGTCATTACATTTTCATTCCTCCTATTACGAAAGCCATACATTTGTAACATAGACAATGTGAAGTTCCAGTCTACTCAGCTTTATATACACTGAAAACCAAATACCAGTGACGTCGTAATGTGTATGAGAAAAAGCGCGATAGGCGTGCAACACCAGTACGTGTGTTAAAAGAGATAGTAGCACCTCGTTACCTAGCAACCCGAGTACGACGTCATATACCAACGGCGCACTCTCACGATAAAGCCTAGGTGCAGCATCTATATCTACATTCCATATAAATGAGGCGCATATTACCGTATTCATGTGCGATGCACTCAGAAATGGTGGCACTACACAATCATGAATTAATAAAAGTGGCGTTACTAGCTATCTTGCTGTCACTACTTATCATGACACTGCCCATCACTCTGTCTAAGAAAAAACTGAAATTTGTAGTGATGGGAACTAAAAGATCATAAGAGGTAGATTTTTCAGATTTTGTTTTTAAAGTCTATAATTCGAAAAGTACACGACTCAGACTTTTTTATATTTTTCTGACTTGGCCTATCCCTTGTTTCCTTCTGGGATTCCCTGTATATATGAATGAACCTTCTGCTGGCTTTCACTGTAACTAAAACTAACCATCGCATTCCAGCTTCAACAGCAGCCGACTCTCTGAGCAGCTGGAGGACCTGTACGCGAAGTTTGCGCAGCGCTACGTAGGGGCAGAGACACAGTCTTCCTGTACGGTTTTCGACGCTGAGACCGGCATGAGCCCTTCGAAGCGGTGCAAACTGTTGGGGCGCAGATGGGCAACCAAGAGTCCCGGCAGGAGGCTCAGCCACCTCGCCCGCAGAAGGATCACATTCTCTAGCGCTAATCTGGCTGCTGGCACTTCGGGGGCTGCAGGGAGTAGAGCCAGGCAAATTTTGGTTGATGCGAAGTGAGTTTTAAGAAAACATTTTGTATGCTAGTCATACAACTACAACTCTATATTTACTTCCAAAAAAGATTTCATCATATTATCACCCTCAAAATAACTTCCTTCTGAAGCCACACAGCGCTGGAGATTGTTTTTCCACTCCTCATAGCAGTGCTGGAACTCTCATACTGGAATAGCCTTCAGCTAATTACAGCCATTTGAATGTTTTTGACTGTCCCAAAATGAGTTCTCTTGAGGTGATTTTTCACCTTCTGAAAGAGAAAAAAGTTACAAAGACTCAAGTCAGGCGAACATGGAGGTTGAGGAGCCACCTGAATATTTTTACTAGCCAAAAACTCGTTTATTGACATTGCTGTGTGACAAGGAACATAATCGTGTTGCAACACTCAGTTCTTGATCTGATGAACGGTGGTGTGAGGCAAATTTCACTCTTCCTCGATCATTCCCAGATACTGTCGATATTTTCTTCGGTTTTAAAACATGAAGCCTTCCGCTTCGTGGATCATGTTCGATCGACTCCCTTCTGAAAATGCCGACAAACCTTTATACTTGACAAAACACTATCTCCGTAGCCCTTTTTAGCAAGAATTTCCGTTGCGCTGTGCCCAAGTTTGAAGCAAAACCTGACAGCACACTGTTGCTTGAAATTAATGTCACTCAACACAATAGAAAATCTGATTCACAAAAAAAAACTCGCTACGGACAACCAAATAACTCGAGCGAGTTCAAACTTTTACTGAAGGCGGATCACATGTTCCCCTCCAAGCCCGGCGTCTCCAGTGTTGCCAGATCGAACGCTACGTTGCCAGTCTCATCACTTAATTTACAGACCTCGTATAAGTATGTTTTAATGTGACGGATATTTCACGAACTGTGATTTAGAGCTGATATATCTTGGTAACGAGTCACTACTGTTACCATATATCGTGTAAAAGCGTGACATGATCACGAGTCGGGAACTAGGCGCTTTACGACAACAGTGAACGATATGCGAAAATCGTATCCGACCGTGAGGATACCATAGCCTGCAAGTGGTCTCGTGCTTTATAGGTTTTGATGTTTCGCTCCATGCGGTGTTTGGCTCGATATTATCCACATATACTCTTAACCTCATCAATATTCGTAATCACGTCATGCTTTTAAATCATTGATATCAAAAAGTAACGATATCAGTTATAACATATGTTCAAAAATAAGGATATCGGCTATCTCTACATTATGCCATTTTGTATGGAATATGATAACCATCAAATGACACAGTTTCGCAGAATGCGAGAGCTTCACGTGCTCCAATTTTCATAATAATAATATATTTATGGATGAACTTATCTCACAAATATACATAAACATCATACATTCACTCAAAACTATGTTTCATTGATGCACTCTTATAATTTTTAAAATATCCAATGAGGGTGCTTACCTGTCTACACATTCTTGGCATAGGCCGGTGCATGGAATAGTTTGGTGATAATTAACTGAGAACAAAACTGGTTTTGCCTTGTTTGTCTGATACAGGGAAATTAATTTCAGATGAAAGATCTGGGGGATATATCGATCCATGACACAGCTTATTCAAAGTGCAGTTATCAAAATAAATCCTTCAAATTTCCAAAGAAGCCATATTTAATAAATTATGCAAGTCGTCATAATCAATCAGTTCCTATGGTATTTTCAGTTTATATGCTATATGCCTTAAAAAGCTTTTGTATGCACTCTATTGCATGTATACGTATTTTATAGTCAGGTGACCAAACAGAACAAGCATACTCCAAAATGGATCCTACTATTGCACCGTAGGTGTCTTTTAAAGAAAAAATATTTTTGAAATCCATCAATGATCGAATGTTCTATGTCTATTCTGTTAGTGATATATCGGATCCGATTGATTTTGAGCGATGACTTGGGTTTGAGAGGCCAGATCGCGCTCTGACTGCAACAACAGACAGCAACAGCGACCAACCCTGGCACCTATTTGTAAAACTAGTGACATAGTACCGGCAAACAAAGAGTAGTTGTATAAAGAGAAAACAGTTATACAAGGTGAATAAAATTGGAGAGAGATAAGAGATAATTCCCAAAAACATGGCGTCGACGAAACAGCTGATGTCTAAACATGGCTGTTCTTGTTTGGTCAGAAATATCTGCGCTTTTGCCAGATAAATAATCCTTTTTGGATGAATTCATTGACCATCACTTGTGGTGACATATTTTTTTTTACAAATTTACTTTTGTTTGAACATTTATTCATGATGGGGATATTTATCATCCATTTACAACCTAGGAAATGTAGTTTTCATTCAATCAAGTTATAAATCACACTTTTCGCAAGTGATGCTATACTCCAAACCTGTTATCACACAGCTATTTCACTTTTAGCGACCTACGTGGAGTAAACACGACTAAGTTTAGTAATAAAAGAACCTATTTAACACCCTATCTGACAATTTTTCGTAGATGTATTACCACCTATGTTCACAGATTTGGGCTTTAAAAACGAATATATCCCAAGCAATCACTCAAATTCTTCTTGGAATTTGCGCCACTGTGTTTGACCAATATCATACTCCATACAAAGCATACATATGCCTTTTAAATAAAAAAGAACTCCAACCTAAATCCGTTTTTGCGAAATCAAAACCCTTTATATTAGTTACAAATATATTTATTTCAATGTGAGGCACTTTTAAATTCACACATAATTTATGTTTCTACAGAAAATTAGAATTGTTGAGTAGAAGAAAGAGTCCAAGAAAAACGCCCAAGAAAACTCCCAATAAGAGTCCTAAGAAGAAGACCCGTACTCCAAGTAGCTCTGCAAAGAAAAAGCTGGCAATGAGATTCAGAAAAATGACTGGCGAAATTGAAAACACAGTTCCTAGTACGTCTGCGGATGTATTGAAATCCATTTCAAAAAGAGCCCTGTTTCAGAGTCCAGATAAGAAGAAAGAATCAAGTTTGTTCTTGCCAAGTTAGTATATTTTAGTTCATTGACTTTTGAATAAATTTACTGTTTTTGATGTTCTTAAAATATTTTTTGGTAATTAGAAGAAGTAGTCACAAAGAACCTATACAAATAGCCATATTTTGTCTATAGTCTCTCAGGTAGGCCAATTCTTAAAACTAAGGAAAGTAGAAAACCTACTACAATGTTGGTGTGGTTCTATTGATTTTCAAGGAACTGTATTCTTTATCGTTCCTTAATATAAAAGTCTTATCTCAAAAACAAATTCAATTTTGTGATGAATCATCCAGTGATATAAAAAACCTATGGACATTTTATTATTTGCTGATAATGAATGCATTCACAAACTTCGAGAAAAAGTAGCAGAACTACACCCACTATCTGTCGGTGATTCTACGCTAGAAACAATAATTCAAAGATGGTTGGCGTCTTTTGGTTTTTGCATATACAAAATGGGTGTTACTTCAGTTTTCTGTTTTATTTCTTGAAAATGAATGTCAGGAATAATGCCAATGAAGATGCAAATGTTGGGATGGTGATAACCAAGCATAAAAGATCTATCTGCTGATCTTTCTATAAACCAGGGCTTTAGAACCGTTCTATTCATGACTTTAACAAAACTGCAGATCGATATATCTAGGCATGTTTATCATATTGTGTTGCTTGTATTTATAGGCTGTATAATCTGCATCATCGGGTCTCGGGCTATTATGAATACCGTAAAATCTTATTTCATTTTATTTTTAAGCCAATATTACAAATACTTAATTCAGGTAATTACATGTGACCATAGAAATATCTAACCTACCTTAAGACTAAAAAAAATATTATAAATTACAGTTTCTAAGGGCCGTATCATCAGTCGTTCCCACAATATTGTAGGACGCCTTTATGGCCTTCTTGATTTTCATAGTTTTCTACTCTTCCGTGTCAGCACTCTATTTTGATGTTATGTTACAAATATCTATTCGCATCAAATTGTTCATGCTTTTGATTTATATCATCTATCATACCACCTTGAAATTTTCAAAAAGAAAACGTAGCCTCACAATAGGAGAGCGCTGACGCTGACACGGAACATTAGACATCTAGAAATAGTCCAGCCCGTCAGAATGAGAGAAAATACTATGAAAATCAAGATCCATAAAGGCGTCCTACAATTGTAGGAACTACTGACGATACGGCCCTTAGGTTGCTTGACCTATATATGGACACACAATTATGCTTAATTGAACCTGCATTATATTTTACCAATATATTATTTATTAGTGACAAGCTAAAGGGATTTATATAAAAGGTATCAATATGTAAAATTCTTAATCTAGCCTTTGATAGGAACCTTAAATTTAATATAATCAATACAATTAAATGAGTAGATAATTATAGATAAAAATCACAGCCAGCGTATTTCTCCTGTCAGATGTTATATCTATATTTATTTCCATAGACACTTTTGGACTATCAACCTTCGAGAATTCTCCCTCCAAGAAACTACCAGCCAAGCGCGCGTTGTTCTCTTCTCCAAACAAAAGATCGCCTTTAAAACGGTCTCCATTCAAACGATCCCCATTTCTGGACAAAAAACGGAAAAGGGCAGACTCTGAAGAAAGTCATCCTTCAAAGATGCCTAGAAGTATGTCCACTATGTCTGACGTCGTGAGACCTTCTGAATCAGAAACAAGGACATTACTCAATAGGACAAAGAGCGACATTGAATTGAGCAGCATGGTGAGACAGCCGCTTGGAGAACTTAGTGCAGTGCATAAAAAGGTAGTACAAAAAATGTTTATTGTAATGATGATAATGTGAATAATCACTTAAGTGGCAGATAAGTTCTAGGGACTGATTTCACCAAATGCAACCCCTATCCGATTTTAACCCGCTTTCGAGTCCCGTTACTTTAGAGTTCTTTTTGAAATATCTTTCGTTTTGGTGTCATGAATAAATCATCTGATTATACAGGGTGTTCGAAAAACAGACGGAGATGCTTTAGAGGGTGATTCCTTAAAAAATATGCAAAAAGTTTTTAGGGCTAAATTAGCCCCATAATACAACATACAATATTCATAGTTCATTTTACTAACTACGCCTACTGTTTTTTTTTTAAGTTTAAGACAATCCTGACCATTTGCGGAAATTCTAGGGATTAGAAATTGGGGGCTGCACCTATTAGGCATATTTCACTCATCATAGATGGCCCTCTACATTTCCCCTTAAAACTTAGAAATATCTCCTTACTGTCGGGTGGCAATTGTGTATTGACTATGCTGTTAGTAGTACCAAAATGTTAAGTGAATATCTCAAGACACTCAAGAGATAATTTTTTTTTTGTTGCGAAACTGAACTTCAACATCCAGTATCTCGGTGAGGGGGCATTCTAGGACTCATGCTTATATGAACTTTTCCTATTATTTAAAGACCTAATTTATACCTCAAAGATATTGCTACAATTTACGGAATTAGCTTATATAGTAGCTTGAGTAATGTTTCTCTTTTTTTTTCAGAAACTCCAATGGGCTGTCTACGAAGCACTCCGTTCCCAAAACGTTACTCCGACCCACAAACAGTTCAAGCTTTTCGCATCTGTGCTAGCTAGAGTGACGCGCCGACTGATGTTGAACATAACCTTAGGGCAGCCTAGGCCTGAGGGAAGTACTACAGAAAGAATGTTGCGCATTGCAAAGCATCATGTGATTGCTGTCATTAAAGGTATGATGTATATCTAGCATATTCTAGCTGCGGCTCTTCAGTCAGTCACCTGAAAATCTTTGCTGTCAAGCTTTGAACATATGTTGCTTCTTGACTAATACTTTCTCAATTCAGAATGCCAGAAGTAGCCCAAATAAATTATTGGAGAATTCGCCGACCAGACATTCTTGCGGCATTCAGTGTGATGCCATAGGTCATTTTCATATGACGTCACGTCATCTCTTCATAACACAAATGGACGTCCATTTGGTTCAATTTAATTAGCTCCACTATTGTTACTTATTTCTTGTAAATGCTTGGTTTAAATAGTAGGGAATAATAATAATTATTTTTCGAATCATCAAGGGATGACATGGAGTGCGTCTTAAGAAAAAGAAATGAAAACTGATACAATGTACAACATCAAAAAAACACTTAAAAGGACGTCACTAGTTTTTTAAATAAACGAGATACTCGTCAATACTGTAAAAGTGGCGTTCCTATATAATAATGTCTTCACCTTTCTACTAAAATTATTCAACGACGTAACCCCACGCATGTCAGTTGGAAGCATGTTGAAAAGCATGCATCCAGCTCAAATTGGAGACTTTTTATATTACACGACTGTAATAAAATTAAATGATGATGAAATTCTCTTTATTACGAGTATTGTAATTATGCGTTTTGGAATGACGTTTAAATTTATTTTTATTTAGAAAAAAATACACTAATCGTTTGAAAATATAAATAATATAATAACTGTAATACAATAATGTTCGAATATTTCCCTGCAAGATGACTTAAAGTGAATTTTTTGTAGAATTAAAACACGCTGGACGTCTTTAGCCGGCCCCCACAAGAATAAATAGCAGTATATCTTAACGCATAATAAATATTAATCGGATCATATCTAAGGTACTTTTCAGAGAATTTATCACAAAATAACATTTACCAAGCTTTGCGCATACTGAATTAGCATTTTCCTCCCATGGCAGAATCTGTTGGAAATTGCCACCGTTAGTTATTTTTGAAGAACCATTGACATGTCTTCCTTCTTGGCTTGGTCAATTGTTTAACGAGAGGAGCAGAGACATGTATTCCTGCTATTCTCCAAAATGCTGGTAAAAAACTCAATATTTTCCCTAAAGTGCGACGAGATTAATGGATTAAATCATTGATGGAGGGGTGGGGTGTCTTGATCGAAGACGAACCAAAATATGCAAGAATTTGTTCCAGGTATCTTAAAAAATGCAATTGTTGGAACTAAACCTGTATTTTATAGGAGCTACAGCAGATTTAAGAGACAAGGATGATTCTGATTGGATTCCCAGTCTTGAGAAAGTATATTAACTAAGATATCTAGTTGAACTAAAATGTATACAGGGTGGCCTATCCATGTGTGGACTGAATATTACTCATAAACAAATACTTTTTGGAAAAATCTATTTATGGCATGTTATATATGACATTTGAGGGCACATTTCAAAAATATTGGCAATTATACAGGGTGCCCCAATTTTGACCTACATATCAAAGTTGTGATTTTTTAAATGGAATGCCTCAAATTTTATTGCATATTTGGATGGGATTTTGGTAATTAGCTACTGAGGTGTAAGGTGTTTTGTCCAGAAAAACCGACCACTTCGGCAACCCCTCAATCCGCCATTTTGAAATTTGGAGTGGTGAATTATGTATCAAAAAAAAACTTACACACCTCAGCTTTTATCTTATTTGTTACTTTTCGAATTTTCATTTTTGCTCATACAGGGTGGTCAAAAGCGCTAATTGTACTTTTTCTCAAAAATGTTTCATAAGCTTTTTTTGATAAAATCACTAGATTTTGAGTTATTAAGCTTGTAATAGAACAACACACCAAAATTACGGGAAAAAATCACATCATCCATGGAAACAAAAGACAAACAGTGGACTAGTTCCATATTGCCACTAAGAGTACAGATTTGACGTAAAAACTAATAACAATCAGAACAGTAGAAATCAGCTTCAAGCATAATAGAGAAAAACAACTATAACAACAACATAAACAAACACTATAACTACTCAAGACCTAATCTACAGAAACTGCTCGAAAATATCTGCACCATGTTGAATACACAGCCGTAGTCTTTGGATAAATGACCGTTGCACATCCCTCAGCATGTGTTCTCTTATGTTCAGAAAAGCATCCTTAATACTTTCCTTCATATTTTCCGAGGTAGATGGTGGATATCTATAAACCTATTGCTTAACGTAGCTCCATAGAAAGAAGTCCATCGGTGTCATATCTGGTGATCTAGGATGCCAAGATATAGGCCCGTCACGACCGATCCAACGATTTTTACTCCAGAAGTCCAAATAGTTACGCACACGATTATAATGCGCAGGTACGCCGTCATGTTGGAAGTACAGATGCATCCGAGTTTGCAGGTTGACATCCTCCAAAAGCAAAAGCAAATACTCGATCAAAAAATTCAAGTATTCTGTACCTGTTAATCTGTTGTCAAAAAAAAGGCCCGATAAATTGTCTGCCAATAACTCCTCCCCAAACATTCAAGCTCCATTTATTTTGGAAATCTATTTGCCTAACCTAGTAAGGGTTTTCCGTGGCACAATAGTGCATGTTATGAATGTTGCCAACACCTATGCTATTAAAAGTTGCCTTATCGCTAAAAAGAACCTTATCCAGGAAAGTAGTGTCTTCACTCACTTTATTTAGCATTATTCTACTAAACTCCATCCTAGCTGCGAAACCCTGAGAACCAAGACCTTGATGCATTGGCATAGATAATATGGATGGTACCTATGCTTGTGAATAATCATTTGGACAGAAGTTCTGCATATATCAGGTTCTGCTCCAATTTGCCGTGCACTTAAATGGGGATTTTCCTGCAACTTTAATAGAACCTCCAACTGATTCGCCTCAGTGGTGACACTTGGATTATTTATACCTTTTCAACTATATTCCACTGATCCACTTGATTCAAAACGTTCTCGTAGTGTGGAAAATGTTTCCGGCCTTGGATGTCGCATATTAGGGTACCGTTGCTTATAAATGCGAGATGCTAAGACACTATTTCCTTGGGCTTTGCCCAAAACGAACACCACATTCACCATTTCTTCTTTTCAAACACGTTTTTATTATAATGCTCACAAAGCTAGTTTTGACAGTTTGTAACTAATCAACAACTTACTTGTTTCCAAGGATGATGCGATATTTTAGGGAATATGCAGGGTGATGCCTCTATGAGCAAAAATTAAAATTCGAAAAAACAACAAATAAGATAAAAGCTGAGGTGTGTAAGTTTTTTTTTGATATAAAATTCAGCACTTCAAATTTCAAAATGGCGGACTGAGGGGTTGCCGAAGTGGGGGTCTTTCTAGACAAAACACTTTATATTTCAGTAGCTAATTACCAAAACCCCATAGTATATCATTTTTCTTCTTTTGAATTGGTTTATCCAAATATGCATTTAAATTTGAGGCATTCCATTTGAAAAATCACAACTTTCATATGTAGGTCGAAATTGGGACACCCTGTATAACGAGAAATATTTTAGAAATGTGCCCTCAAATGTCATGTACAACACCCCATAAATAGATTTTCCCAAAATGTATTTGTTTATGAGGTAATATAAGTGCGAGCTGCGTATATGGAAAATCCAGTATTGCAGTACAAACTGATCTAATAGTTATCAACAGCCAAAATACTCCATGTACCAATTGAAACATTACAAAACTAATGAAAGTGCATTTGCAAATATTTTTTGTTGTGTATTGTGAAAGATTATTTCGTTTTGTACGATATCAACTTATCTCAATATCCGGTCTGCACCTGCTGCCTAATCGCTTACCGCTACATCGCTCCTGCTGACATCACACCAGATGGATGATACTTTTGGCAGGGCAGAGAAGAAATTTCTAGGTCGCAGCGTTATTAAATGTGTGGACTAATTGTATGGGCTTGTTTGTTTTTTCTTGGAGGGGCCGAACATAATTCTTTATGAATTGATGATGGCGTTACGTGGGAAGTGCAGTCAACCTACGTGACGCCATTTTTTATACTGAAGCTGTCGCTTAGGTTGAAACTTGAATGCGGGGCACCGCGACTGCTGTAAGGAACTGAATGTTCAAGTAAACTGAACTTTTCAACCTTAGTTACTATCTCTTCTCGAGGAATCCCATCAGGATCATATTTAGCTATTAAATCTTCAGGAGCTCCTATAAAGTACTTCTTTTGTTCCACCAATTTTATTTCCTAAGATGTTACCTTTTATAAAATACCTGGCACAAATTTTAAGATATTTTGGTTGTTCTTTCATCAAGGACCCCTCTTCAATATTTCAGACGATAAATCTCGTCGCACCAGCATTCTGGAATATATGCAGGAATACATGTCTCTGCTCCCTCTCATGAAACAATTCACGAATGTAGAATGGAAGGCATTTCATGATTCTTCACAAATAACTCATAGTAACAATTACCAACAAATTTCCGACTATGTACACGAAGGATTCACAGCAAAAATCATGGAGCTAATTTACATTGAACTAAATGACTGACGGTTTGTGGTTGTCATCCAACCAATAGGAGGATCCACCAGAATCATGTATTTGAAAATGATATATGAACGTATTAGCGGCATGCTTATGGGCTACTTCTTGCATACTAATTTAATTGAATAAGAATTACCGCGAAATTAACGAGTATCTCGGCTGTCAAAAGTCATGCAATGTCGAGTGCGAATCTTGTAGAGCTTCCGCTGCCAGTTAAAATTAAACCTTATTTTTGACCTGAAGTTGAACGTTCTTGCATCAGGCTGTCGATGGGTAATCCAAGTTTCAATCTCTAATATCGAAATTTGACCTAATCTAAATTCTGAGCCATGGGGCTATTGGTGTATCTGGGCATAACAGATATGCCACTGATATCATGAAACTTGATGAGAATTCACTAAGATGAAAATTTGATTTATTTTTTTTACTTAACAGAAGAATGTTTATTCGTTTTTTTTTAGGTAAATCCGTCGAGGAAATCATCAGCGAATACAACAGACAAAAGGCAAAAACCTTCAAACCTCAAGGCTACATTGGAATTGAAGAATTCAACCGTCTGGAATCAATGTCCAAAGAAAATATCCTCAGGGACAAAATAGAAAACGCTATAAATTCATCAAGCAAAGTGATGATGAATTTGCATTCAAAATTTACCCCAAATAATAGGATTGAAAGAATAAGGAAAGTCATCAATTTTGGCGATGACGAGAATCGATGATATAGATGTTGAAGATGTGGAATTTAGGAGGTCGGAAAAGAAAAAATAAATGTATATACTGAAATGTGAGTAAATCAATTCAAAAGACTGTATTAAAAAATTTACGTCAGCTTGATGCAGCAATATATAATAATCTATGAGTAAATAGCCTTTTTCAAGGCTTGGCCCAAATGCCAGAAAAAACTGAAATAAACGTTGAAATATATCAAATTGCATTTAATTACTAATATAGCTACCATTTTTAGATGATTTAGCTTTGTTCGTTATTCCTGTTACAAATCAGAATTTTCATTTTTCTCACTTAAAGGTGTATTAATTTGGCAATCCAACTACACTGAATGTTTCAAATTTGACTCTAACCATTCGGCAGGGGTATTATGTATTTTGAAAAGTGACATGTCGGTTTATTTTTACATTTTGTAGGTTTTTCTACAATATGTCCACTTAGCTCTAGTTGTGTACTCGTTCCGTATCTGTACGTGTTGCCTAAACGTCATGATGCTTTAGCTATCAATGTTTGGCTCTAATGTGATGTAACATGTACTTCAGAGATGCCATTATTGGAGGTCTAAGCTGTAAGATGTATACTATAGCTGGAAAGAAACAGCAGTGCATAGGTGCATAGTGAGGATTTGTGTGCTAATAATATATGTTGGCGATAATTCAAATTCACTTACTTGAGATATATGCAAAGCTAAAAATTAGTTAGTTTTTCAACAAGAAAAGATAATCCCTGGTTGGTGAAATATGTACATTACAACTAAGTGTGAGAAAATATGCTACATACAGGAATATCTATGAAAAGTGAAAGTGATTACATTTTACATTATTTTTTATTTCCAGTCATTTAAATTGTACAGAAATTTATTTTGCAATGTCAATTAGAAAATACAAGTCCGCTCCTAGATGCGAGGCACTGCGAAAACGTTTTGTATGTGATGCATCTTAGGCCCGTATCGTCAGTCGTTCCTACAATTGTGGGGCGCCTTTATTCCTTGATTGTCATAGTTTTCTACTTTTCCGTGACAGCGCTCTATTTTGAGGTTATGTCACAAATATCTATTTGCATTCAATTGTGCTTGCTTTTTAGTTATATCATGTTTTATCAGCCTGAAATTTCGTACAATTTAAAAAGAAAACATATCTTCACAATAGGAGAGCGCTGGCGCTGACACGGGACAGGTGCAATCTAGAAATTTTTGAAGGAGAGAAAGGAGTATGACAATCAAGGAGGCCATAAACGCGCCCTACAATTGTAGGAACGACTGACGATACGGGCTTAGTCCTAATTTTTCTGTGCTGATTTCCCGTAATGCTTCTAAAAATTTTTGAAAACGCAAAAAAACGGGGAAAATCGTAATGAATAACTTTGAACATAACCTCTCTTCAGAAAGGACACAAATAACCTGTCTGACACAGATAGATATATTTCATGAGCAGGATATTCAGTAATAATTTTCTCAGATAAACTGATGTGATTTTGCTACTCTGCTACTCAACCACACAAATATCTCAGCTGTACACACTATCTCGGCATTCTGCAACAAACAAAGCATGATGGGGGACTGACTTGTAGCTTGTTGCATGGTCATTGAGCGTGCCGTGTCTTTGAGTCATTCCTCCATAGATGGATGCTTTTGATGGCGCTCACAGCGCTTATAGCGAGCAAACGCGGAATGAACTATCTGCAACTAGGAACAATATAGGCAGCAAGTTGACATTTTGTCGTTTCTTTTTTGAAGTTTTATAGGTTTTTTACGTAATTACCCTGTGGATCTCGGAAACGGTAAGACCTGCAAAGTCGGTTGAATGGGGGCAAAGTTACGCATTTAAGAAACTAAGAAATTGGCACTTAGAATGATGATGATATAAAACAAATAACTACCGGATAAGGCCTCCGTTGCAAATTCTGGTTTTTAAATTATTATATCTCTATAATAATTATAGTTTTCCATCATTATACATTGTTACTTCCAACGCAGTGGGCGAGGAAATATTGTAATCGCAAACAATTTCGAAAAGGAGATATTGTGTTTTTTCGGATTTCATATAATAATAATAATACTGTTTATTGGAGTATTAGTACAAACGAGCAACAGAATAAAGATATGAGTAAATAATAGAATAAAAAAAAGAATACCTACCTCAAAAAGCTGGAGATTGGCATAGACATTTTTCACCTCCGCCCAGGTATCTAATGTAAATATAGTTATTCACAAGTACAATAATCTTAGTAAGGAAAAACATATACATCGCATATAAGGTGTCCATTTAGTATACTAGGCGCTAAGTAATAGAAACATTTTTTAAATTTTGACGTAGTGTGGGCTGGTATAAGAATAGTTTTCTCTATAAAGTGTTAAAAAAATATATCGGAGATTTATATTTTAAAATCTTAAATAATAAAGCAGCACAGAGAAGCAATGTTTGAACTTTAAAACATTTTCACTTACATAATATTCAGTAATGTGTTCATGTACGGTTCTGTAAACCTTGTAATTTGTTGTTTCATTTCCACTATAAACCATGTCACCCATTTCTGTCCCTTGGCCCGTCTATAGTTACCGCTCGAATTTTGATGAAATTTTCACACAAAGTTGCTACTACGCCAAGGACGAAAAAGCTTTGTCATTTTTGGAAGTCGGTCCAGTGGCAACGGAGAAAAAAGCCAATAACGTTAAAATTTTTGTAGGTGTTGAAATTCAGGATTAGGGGGTGGGGTGTGTATGTGGAAATTTCTTAATCTTAGTATACTTATACGCTCCCGTTCGGTAAGTCTATGCATCTGTTAGCCATATTTCACACATCAAAGATTTCCCCGTACACGTGCCTTTAAATAGAATGATAGGGAAATGTTTTCGATCCGCGTACTCTCGCTATCTAAGCTCACCGCCCGGCAAACTGGTCCGGCTGATTAATATATCCGTAATACAACGCAATAAGCATATATGGTAGGCTAGATCGCATTGTTGGACTATGGTCTATTTTATAGTCCATTCAATCCCTTTGTTATACATGTTCGTAGCCTAATATTTTTCTAAGAGCGAATATAATCCCTTTTTGACGCAATTTGAATTCAGAATTAAAAACTATTCACCTATGCAAAATTCAATATGGCGTCCATAAAAAATAAGTTTGTTAACTGAGGTCAAAAGAAGAATGTCATATTGAAATTTTAATTTTTTCATCTTGTAGATGGTCTAAGAAAATTAACTTAAAAATCGTCAGACCAAACAATTCGTGTAGTTTTGAAAAGGGTAGAGCTATTCCTTGAGGTGTCCAGATAGTCAATCAGCGACGGGAGAGGAGAGACATCCCCCTTTTCAGGTTTTTGCACGCATCCCGTAAACCAATAATAATTTCTTTATTTACAACATATTATTCACATTTTTACGGTAGTATCGATACTTAAGGGGCTACAGTTACTTTTATTTTTTATCGACTAAGATACCCTGTAACTCCTAAAATATTCATCCTACAGTAAAAAAATTATTACTTCATTTGTTGTAATTTTGATGTAGAATATTATAGGAATTATAAATATATTATTAACAGTTTACGAGAAGCAAGCAAAAACCTGAAATTAGGAGCCTTCCTCCCTCTCCCCCACCACTGGCTCACCCCCCCATTCTGCTAAATTTCAAAACTACATGAATTATTTGGTCTTATTTAGATAACTTTATCAGGCTAAGAGCAGAAAAAGTGGCAGTGTTAATATGCAATTTATTTTGACCTTGATGACATTTTAGTTTTTTCGTTTATTTTAGTTTCCTAAATGCGCAGCTTTGCCCTCATTTAACCGAGTTCGTATCTATTACGATTTCCCATATCCCAATGGTGAGAGTCGAATTTGAAACATCCGGTATTCAGACCATTTACAATATAGTGGTTGCTGACTTTAATACTGTCTGGGTTTAATGAAATAAAAAAAGCTAGATGAAATTACTAAATTAAAGCAGTTTAGCTTATTTTATTAATACTGCGTGCCGTCAGCAGCTACAAAGGTAGTCTGAATTTTTAGGATAATATTTTACTTTTTTTTCTGGTAATGCTACAACTGCCGTAGCAATATAAATATTTAATACCATGAATTCGTAAATCATACTTCAGCTGACATTCTTTTCCGATTTCCAATTTTTATTATGAATAATATGTACACATTTTTACTACCATGGAAGTTGATTGTGAAATTACTTTTTTGATTTGTGTAGATTTTATTATACAAATATGGGTTTTATTTTTTGGTGATAGATATAGTTTATGGTATGGTACTGAGCAAGTAGTTCCAACAAAAGGCTCTCTAAGGCCGTGAACAAATACTGTGTCGGTTAATATAAAACACGTTCATTTCCATCATCCTTGGATTTTTTGCTGGACTTGTGATAACTCCGCGATATTTATTAGTCCCTACGCCGTGCATTGAGAACTGTTATCTGTCACTAAAATATTTTAAGAATGGATCTCTTTTATTTTTAAGACATTAGGGTTTGAATCGGTTTTATGGTGGTACTAGTAAGGGCTTGCACGATTTCTTCTATATGTCTAAATACGTCGATGTTATTTTGGGTTAAATTTTATTACATATACACTCATACAGGGCGATTAGATATGGTATGGGTACTAAACTGGAAGAGAGTAGCACTGCGTGCATTTGTATCGGCAATGCGATGCGCGCCTTTGTGGTGTACGATGTATGTTATTCTGTTTCATTTTGGTATCAGATTATAGGTTTAGAAGAATATATTCATTGTGTTCCCCTGCACGTTTGCCAGAGCAGCTGGATAACAAGAACCTCAAAAGTGTGTCACCCTCATTTGATCATATACGGATTACTATAATAATCTGGACTACATGCAAACATTTTGATAGTCTTCAGAAATAACTTCACACGTGCTTTTTTCATTTATCTACATAATTGTTTGAGTGATATTTTTTGTGTGAATAACTTTAATTTATATCCGTACAGTAATCAAACAAAAGTGCTCTAAACGAGGTTAAATTTAGTGTAAATATAGCCATGTTTGGTTGAAAGCACCATTATTGACGTGTCTTATCGTTATCAACAGTGCCTTACATTCATGTGTGAACAAATTCAACTATTTACTCAACTTCGACATGTTATCATTGTCTTTTCCCATAGTTCCTTTGCAAAAATCGAAACATATAGTCAGTCGTTCACCACGATACTTCAACACAGAACACATTCAGATGTCTAAACATGATTAACCTTCAAATACCACCTCAAATATAAATTGCACGTTACTAATTATACGTCTCGGCCCTACATACTGTTAATATCGATCACTGTACTGAAATCATCACTTTGTTCTATGTATCGTGCTTCCTTTAATTATTTTTTTTTTCATGATTAAGCTAAGGGTGAACTGACACATTATTACTAACTTTAAAAAATAGATTTCATACGTTCCTCAGACGTACAGCTAGTACGGGTTACGAAGAGCCTTTTTTTTACTTGTGAAGTAGTGAGTATTCACAGATATTGATTAAAAATTTATTTAACTCTCTCTTAAAATTTTATAATCGTTAGCAGCTACATTGCTTAGTCCGTTCTGATTGTATACTCAAAAGTAATTGCTTTTTATGGCAAATCGCACAAAAGTGTCGCTAGGAAGTACGTTGTAGGTTACTTGACAGTGTCATTAAATAATCAGCTGGAGAGCTCACATTTTGGGCAGGAAGAGCCGACAGGGCAATACTTGTCGAGCTTCCCTGCCTGAGATTGGCTATAAAAGCTTTTCCAAAAAAATTATTAGCTGTTGCATTTTTTTACGTGTTGAACTGTCGTGGTAAATAATTGATTGCTTTCTTCTAGTCTTTCGGCATACTCTTAGCATCGTCCACTATTTCGAAAGGTGCAATAGTAAAATATGCACTTTTGTTAATTTAGTGTTATGTTATCGCATGCGGATATGGTAGATTTTTAAATAATGATAAGGTTAAAAGACTGCTTGTACAACCACGAGTTTATAAATTTTGTTGATAATAAAATTGTATGCCATAGTTTTTGTATGTTCTTAGCTTCCTAAAAATATGTTCCAGTGGTTCTGTAGAAAAGTCAATTAAGGGCCGTATCGTCAGTCGTTCTTACAATAATTGAAGGACGCCTTTATGACCGCCTTGATTTTCATAGTTTTCTACTGATCGGAGTCAGCGCTCTATTTTGAGGTTATGTTATAAATGTCTATTTACGTCAAATTGTCCATGCTTTTTATTTATATCATCTGTTATATAGCCTGTTTCCTACAATTCAAAAAGAAAATATATCCTCACAATAGAAGAGCGCCTGACGCTGTCACGGAACAGTAGTAATCTAGAAATATCCCAGCCTTTCTGAAGGAGAGAAGAGACTGAAAATCAAGGAGGCCATAAAGGCGTCCTACAATTGTAGGAACGACTGACGATACGGCCCTAAATGCAGATATCAAGCAAGTCATAAGTTAGATCCTGATCGATCTACCCAGTGATTCTTATTTTTGGACATTGTTTATATATAGTATCTTCACCACCTTTGAATTGATGGACGGTGTTTGTAGTGATGTGTAGTTCGCGAACAAGATAGTTCAATCGAACGGTTCTTATGATTGAACTAAGTGAACTAGTTCATAATTCCTTGAAAAACTCGTTCACTACGAACGACTGGTATTACAGGATCCGGATGATTCAATCGAACTAGTTGTGAGTGAACGGGCTAGAACGAGATATGAGACGAAACACAACCATAAGCAGAAGGTTGTATAACTGCTGACTGGAAGTTATGAAAAATATGATAAATGCTGTTATACCCCATTCGTAGTCCATTTACGCCCCGACAAACCCCAACATGCCCAAAACCGAGATTGTATATGTCCGTATTTTCCTCAACGGTCTTGGAATAATCTAACAAAATAAATGATTATTTTTATAGAAAGGGATGCACATACTTTTCACAATTCTTTATTCGCTGGAAGTACTTGAATCATCGTCCGAATCGTTAATGTTAACTAATGCAGGTTCAATTTGAACATCGATCATATTGTCCAGATCCCACATCTTTCTTTCGATTGTCTCTTGAACGTGACGGATGCAACCTTTCCAATAGTTTGCCGTTACTCTCTTGACAGCTTCATAAAACAAATTTTTCACGTTAGCAAAATTTGAATATTCTATTGTTTGAAGTCACTCAGTTTTTTATATTTGCCCAAACCATTTCAGTGAAATTCAATTCGCAGTGATACGAGGGTAGCCTTAAAACAGGCTTATTTTGGTTTTTAGCCATTTCGTCAATATCATTAAGATTATATTTATATTTGTGCTGTCTGACTAGATGGATTAGTTCTGCTTTGACCATATTTTCTTGTGGACATTGTGCGATTTTTTTTTGTGGTATGCAGCATTATCAAGAACAATGATGGTATTGTCGTCAAGCTGTGGGAGCGTTTCTTCAAACCATCGTTCAAATGAACTCCGGGTCATTTCTTCATGGTAGTTGGTCGTTTTATTTGACTCAAATGCCCATAGGGCAGTGGGCCATCTTCACTGCCAATGTGACAGATAACAAATCGTTTTCCTTTTCCTGGAAATAATTATTTCATATAGTATTCAAGAAAACTAATAATAATACAAGCAGAATATCTAACAGGTGTTAATTCCAAATCTACCATATATATGTAACTTTAATGTAGCTAAGTTTTCAGAGTGGGCTCATAGATTCAGTCTACTTGACACCATTTTTACAATATAAATGGCGAATTGGTTAGATACATGTACCTGACGGATTCTTTAGGGGTTAGTCCATCTAAGAAGGCTTGTCTTGCTGATTTAATTGCAGAATCAGCCCATACTTTAGGTTTTGTATGTCCTGCATTTATCCAGGTTTCATCCAAGTAATAAATCTTCCTGCCCTGGTCGCGGTATTTCTTTATTGATTTTAAATGCTTTCTTGCAGCCTGTTGTGTGGTGGAGGCATTTTACATTTTTTATATATTCTTTAACCATGTTGAAAATTGTCTTAGGACATAAGCCTGTTTTGTTTGCCACACGTTTCTCAACATCATGAATTTTCATTTCAGGCTGCTCTAAAATTTCGCTCTTATACAAGCCCAAACAACTAAATATTCGGACACCTTTACTTTTTGTACAAGTGGACCCATAAATTAACTGCAGCCTTCTAAAAATGTTTGGCAATCAATTTATATTGATAGATAAGCATAATAAACAAATATTTTAAATAGTGGCACCTCTGATTTCAAATTTATTACTGTAAGACAAACAAAATCACTAAAATATCGTGAAATATGGTGACAACTAAATGTTCGGACAGGTCAAGAAGCATAACATTAGAGATAAGCAGAGACTAGCAGGCTATGCAAAAACAATTGAGGGCGATACTAATGTCAAAATACCATTTATGTCAACGTCGTTAGAAATTGTATTTAGTATGTAATTGTATTTTCTTGTTGGTAATTTATATTCATGCAAAAATGGTGCGAGGTGTAGCCACTAACCAGAAAGTGAGGCAAATTATTATTCAGCGTTTTTGCAAAGGCAAGTCAATATGCAAAATATCAAGTGATCTTGTTATCCCTATGTCTACAGTTTCGGACATTATAAAAAAGTATGGCGAAACCGTCAGTACTGATGTGCGCGGTAAAAGTCCAGGTCGACCGAGGATTGTGACTGAATGGAATCGAAGAGTTTTGCTCAAAATGTGAAAATCAGGTAGACGAAACACTTTAAGTGCAGTTACCGCTCAGTGGAACACAAATTGTGGAATGCAGGTTTCACGAGATTACTGTCAAAAATACATTCATAAATCTGGACTCAAATTTTATAAGGTATTCATTATAAAATTATTATGATATAGAGGTGTTCCAAAGAGGACTTATCCAAATAATAACCGCGCCCGTCGCTGCTTACTGTATTTTTCACGAGCATCCATCACGGTAGCTGATTATCTAGTGATATTTCAAAACTCCACATATCGACAAGTAACACATAATTAATGCTGAGACATCCGTCAACGCCAGATAGACAGATCCGTATTTTGTTGTGTTTTTTGTACGCTACAGATTGCTAACAGTTCTTTTATTTATAAAAGTTCCTTTGCATATAAAAAAAACGCTACAAGCAAAATGGCTACTAATGATCATTTCAAGTCAGGTGGGAATAAAATAATATAAACAGTTTTTGACTATGTTAATCATCTCTACTTTTTAGAACTTGAAACACCATATAGTTTTAAGAGACAATGAAACAGCCATACAATTAATTCAGAATGAACGGTAGCATATGACCGAATTGATAGAGTTTCGATACCCTGAACTGGGTCTGAAGATTACTCAGATAACTCTAACAAGTTAGAAATTAGAAAAATTTAAAACTATATTATTAACTTCTGCACATACTTAACATGTATTTGAATTTCGTTACATTGGTGACGGACAATAAACCAGAAAAACGTGTTTATATTATTTTTACATGTAAAATTACAGCTTCTGGAAAGCCCAACGCAGCCTGTTCTATTGACTTTGTAATCAATAAATCCCAGATGTGCCATAATAATTTCCTAATAAAAATTTTTATATCTGTACTTCGTATATTTTATTGTCACATTTTCGTCACTTAAAAGTATATTCCAGATATGTGAACAACATCTCTGAATACAGACCTGAAATTCATTATTGCCAACGTTACAGACTAATATAAAGATGTCGCTTTTGTGATTACCTGTTCGTCTCAGTAGACGTCAAAACGTAATGGATACTTGTGAAAAATACCATAACTCCGGCGATCGGATGAAAAATTGAGAGGCGACGCTTTCACTGAGATTATTTTTGTGTAAAATAGTTTGTTCGCGAACTAGTTCGTTTTAGTGAGTGCGACCAATTGAACTGGTTCAGCGAAATGAACTAGAGAGGACATTACTATGTGTTTGTGTACATCCAGTATTTTTGACACCCTGCAATAAAAATATATTATTTACAATAATTCACACCGAAAATCTACAGTCGGTCAATACTGAAAGTAAACAGATGAATAGGGTACTTGCACACATAAAAATGTTTTACATACACAATGCATATGTCTCTGGACGAAGTAAAACAATTAATATATTCAACAATTATATGTGAGAATAAACAAATGAGTTCGTGTTATCGAAAAAAAAATATGTGCCTGATAATTTCATCTGGGACTTCTTATCTGTTGATAACTTGATCAAATGATCAGGTACTTACTGTTATTGCAGCGGGCAGGGATCACTTTACTTGACGTCAAGTGGGTTGACTCTGAACTTCCTACGCAACGTGGTTATCAGTTTATAAATGATTAAATTCCGCGCAATTTAAATCCTTTGTGAAAAAATTAAGTTGTGGACACGTACAACAGAGAATTAAACGCATTAAATCAGTCAGACAGGCTCATACAATTAGTCTATAGACATCACTTCTCTGCCTTACTGGTACTTACCGGCCATGTGGCAACGTTGTCCCTTTCCACATTTGCGCTGCAGTACAGATATAATCCGGACTGGTTCTCCAGGCGGTGCGCTTAGATCTGCGGATCGAAAACATATTCTAGCGTTTTTATGGGTTCTTTTGGGTGTGGATTAAAACACTGGATTCCACAAAAAGAAATGCACTAATTTATTTAACTTAATAGAACATTTATGTACACCAATATTTATGTCTGACTAATTCTTATGTCGCCATTGACTGCACTATACTTCAATCCGCTCTGATACTTTACCGTATTCAGTACTCTGCTTCCATCTCCCGGCCGCTGAATTATACAGGGTGACTTTGAAGTTGAGTCATTAATTTTCAGATAATGATTGTAGAAGGAAGATAAACCAAAATATGTGTTTAAAAATAAAAAAAAATGTTACCTTGTTTTATAAAGTATCCTCCCGACTAGTATTTCAGTACGGACCTGTATTTGATCGTGCGGTCTTGGAGCACCGGCATGCCCTCGCCTGTGAGGTCTTAAGTCACCTGATTCACGAGCCCTTTGTACTACATTAACAAAGGCACGAGGGGTTGGTTGCACTCGATTGGGAAACCGATCCGCATAAATCCGTCATGCCGCGGCAGCTACAAACACCACTGTTCACTCACGCGTTAGCGACTGACACATTGACTGAATACAACTGAATAAAATTGTAGCAAAAACAAAAAGCGTTTCAAATTCTTTCGCTTTTTTGTTTCCGATGCGATGAACCGATAAGGCGGATTATATCCGTTGTTGCCAAAC